AACGTTAAGAAAGATTTTTGCAGTCCAAACATATTTTGTCACCTGGGGCTAATATTTTTCCAAACTTTTGTTGGTGCTCTTCAGACAGCCCGTGAGCATTACCCTGTGCTATGAGTATCACTCACTCCCTCTTTACACGTTCATACAGTTTCAGACAGAAGAAACACTACACATACGAACGTTCACTCATTTCCCAGTCTCACTGGATTTTTTTTTTTTCTTTCTCAAACCACGGCCCAGCTCTATCTAGCAATTAACTGCCTGCCGTGGACTCTGGTGACATTGTGTGGGGATATTTCTGTCACGTTTATTATGCGTTTGCTGACCAGACTGTGAGTCATTTAGACATAGAAGCAAATCTACCAAGGGGCTGTTTCCCTTTAAGGGAGGTGCCTTGCTCTGAGTTTTGCCCTTTTCCTTTCCTTTTTTTTTGAGAGAGGATTTTGCTTCTTCCCATGTCTTCAGTCCGCAAAACCCAGACTTTTAAAAATGTGCCTTACATGTGAAATGTAACAATATATTCAGTCAGATTCACGGGGTTTTCAAAACTCCAGCTTGCGTTCACTGATACATATTTACACACCTCTTGCCATCCACCTCTTCCTACAGGAAAATCCTATCAGGGAAGTAGCATGCATACATTTACACGTCACAATCTTGGCCAAGATGTTGTATAATTTCAGGTACTTAGGCTGAATGACTGCTTCTTAAAATCCAAGCCTGTTTTTAACTGATTCCCCTTCATTTCTTCCAGTGTTGTGCAGACACACAGGAGGGTGAACCTCACCAAAGGCCTCAGCATGCAGATATGCGCTCAGGCCTGTCTAGCCAGCCAGTAATCCAAATTCTTTAACCCAGCCTGCGTTTTCCACATTGAGAGTGCCTGGAGTCGTATATAGAGCAGAGAAGTAAGTCACTCCACAACATGAATAAGATCAAAAATGAAAAGTTACATTTCCAACAGAATCAGTTTGACTACTAATGATGTTAAAAAAAAAAAAAAAAACATGTACAGTACGACAAATTTCCTAAATAAATATCATCTGTAGATTTGGTACGGTTACGTCCTAGTTGCTGAAAGACAATATTAGCACACTTAAGACAATTTCAAATTTTTCAGCTCCTTCATCGGAAGTAGAAAGATATATTTTGCGTCTTCATAACATTAGAATGCTACAGTCAGATAGACGGAAATCCCGACCCCTGCTTTTGCCTGTTTTAGCCAGAAAAATAACTCAAATTAAAATATTCACCTGGGCCACGTTAGTTTTCTATAATTTAACCTTAAAACACTGGAACAATATTTAAGATGCCATTGAGATCATCAGGCATAAACCAAGTCTGGAGATTTAACGATAATTCTCATGCTTCATCACTATCTTGTCACGTTCCATGCTGTGAAGGACCCAAATCTAGGGCAGCCAGGTGACTGCCTGAAAGATAATGCAGTGACGGTAATTTGCAGAGACAGCAGCCTCAAATATTTATAATAGTTTACTTTTTTAGGTGAGAAGACAGAACTATAGAATAATAAAAAAAAGCATATCATAAAAGTTTTAAATAATTTGTTTCCTTACAACAAGCCCGAATTCTGTCTCTCAAAGATTGTCTCAACCTTTTATGTTTTCTTCTCTTTTCTATCCACATTTTTTTTATTTGGTAAAGAGTCGATGTTATTTTAAATTCCACTTTGGTAGACGGGGCTTCAATACAAACTCGTGAAAGAATTTGAAAAATGGCTTATTTTAGCAATAAATACCAGAATAAATTCAAGTTTCCTTTTCTTTAAGTCACTTTCTAAAACAGAGTGTTGCATTTTCTTTCCTATAAAGAAAGTCGACTTAAGGCTTTCATGCAGCAGCCTGAATTGAAAGAAGCGTTTGGAACACAGGCTGTAATTTAAAAACCTCATCCGCCCCTGCATGTCTGCCACTATGTGCACATGCAATGCCCTGTTTAATTAGGGCCTACCTCTGTATGAGAGCTTTTTATCTCACAATGTAAACACTGTGCATTTCTTTAAAATTATCTTTCGCTCTCTACATATTGTTTTTCGTTGCTTTTGTCCAGTTTTTCTGTTCCTGCTTCAGTTCTAAACAAAAACATGAGTTTGGGAACCCAGTGGAAGAAGGATAACAGGTCGTGCTCTTTCAGACTCCTGTGAAAAATTAATTTAATATTAATTATTAAACTGAACAAAGGGGTTCGAATTTGCCTCCGCCCCCTTTCATAACCGACATTCACCAAATGCAACCTTCTAAAGACATCAAATTAGTAATTAGAGTCCATCTGTGTGTTTTAAGCTCAGTATAATTAAAGATAATCTGAGGAGGCTTTTTGTTGGTGAACAAAAAGCGTCAACATGACCAAGAAAGAACTCTGGTCCAATCAGACTTAAATACATTTCTTGACCTCTTCCTGACTTTCTGATCTAAATGTAAAATGTCATGAATGGCGGAAAGCAAATGGACGTTAAATTATTAGAAGCATCTCCACAGTGAAACGAGGTGGTGGCTGAATCATGCTGTGGGAGTTTTGTTTTTCTTCTGGACAGGGAGGTTGGTCAGTTGAAGGACGGAGCAAAGTACGGGGCAATCCTGGAGGAAAAGGACTGAAACTGCAAACAAGGTACAGAGGTTCACCTTCCACTAAGACGACGACTCTGAAACATTCGGCCACTTTTAAAATGGATGTGTTTAGATCAAATCAACTTAATTCCAGTTGACTTCATTGACTACAAAATGATGTTACTGTCTCTTCAATTCAACTGGTGTTGAGCTATTTGCAAAGAATGGTTTGTCTCCAATTATAACAGCCATGGAAGGCAGTTTAGAGGTTTGACTAGGCGAGTGAATACAAATGGATACAGTTTTCAGATCATTAATAGCAAAGCATTTTTTAAAACCAATAATGGTTTACTTTGTATGACTCTATTACTAATAAAACACATAAACGTTTGTAGTAGTGATGTGATAATTATCAGGGATTTACGTGAACTTTCTTGTCAATGTGAAAATCAAATATTAATACTTATGCAGAAAACATTGGGAACATTTATTCTATCATCATTTATCTGTAGAAATGTGGCTCATTTTCACATTTCTACAGATTAGTGTATCTTCCCAAAGAAATAGGCTGACAAGATAACATCAGACACTTTTTTTTTTTTTTTTTAACCAGGGATGAAACTGCACGTGTACAATTGATGTTATCCTAGAGAAAACGTACTGATTTTAAGTTGTAGTGAAGCTGAACTGGGGGACACACAGAGAGATCAAAGTGAGCGAGGATGGAGTTTAAACAGTGGATCTGCATGCAGGCTCAGCTTGCAGCACTGTGAAAGACAACAGTGGAGAAGAGCCGAACATGTTAAGATTGAAAAGTTTGCCATTTCTGGTGGAAGGTTGCATCTCAAAACTCGACTAAATCAAACCCGTGTCCATGTCCACACATTTTTACGCATTACTACTTAAAACAGTTTTAAGAGCAAATGGTCTCCTGCGATTATTTGAAAGCTACAGTGTAGCAGCGTTTTTCGACTGTAATCACACAGTGAGGAGCTCCTAAAGCTGATGATGTGGAGCTTTTCAGCCATCTTTAATTCCTTGCGCTGCCTGTCTGGTCTCTTCCACCCACTTCTGGGCTTCAGAGTAGCTCTGCAGCGAGTGGGAGCGCTGCCATCTTTAAATCACATTTCATCTCACTCGCTCCTCCTCTCCTTTCTTCACTCTGTCGTATCTCTCAGGATTGACTCAGGTGTAAGATTTAGGTGGAAATCCTGTAGAGTGGTGCCCCTCAATGACTTTCCGTGGGTGCAAAAGTTGCAGGCAAGTTTCAGTCAGCAAAAGGCTCTCTGTAAGGAGAAGGAGGGGATGTTAAAAAAAAAAAAGACCATAATCAAGAGCCATTTCTATATTTTGGGCTGCATAAACAGCACCACAGTACAAAAAGAGCACCCAAATCATGTATCATCTGAGGAAAGGGGTCTTTATTCTCATAACTATATGAATAAGCATTGGTCTATGGGATGGAATGAGTTGTGTCTTATGTGATAAAATGCTGGATGTGGCCCTTGCTGAATACTGTTGGAGCCATGGTGGAACGGATGACATGTCTGGTCATGTGGGCAAGTAAGAGCTGCACAAAGAGAGAGAGAGAGAGAGAGCAAAGGGAGGAGGAAAGTTAGATCTTCTCTCACACCTGCCTTTTTCACAGTCTGAAGGTTTCCCTAGTATTGTGTGTGAAACATTGCATTCCTCCGGCGGACATTTCCCAGAAAGAACGCTGCTGTGGTTCTGACTCAGTAAAAGTTAAAGCTTTGTACACAGGGACTTTATTTTAAAATAAATGTTTAGTGGATGAGTTCTGCATAATGTGTTAACGTGTGGGAGAAGTAAAGCTTTCATTTCAATCAAATCAACGCGAAAAATGAGAGATTCGCCAAATCCGCGCGCCAAAGCTTTGACGCAAACGTCCGGTCCAAAATTATTTAACGTAGAATATCAACATAAATTGCAAAAAAATAAAAATAAAAAATCCGAGTAGAGGTGGACTCAGATCTTCCCGGTGGTAAAATATCCCCACTGACGCTCGTCTTCTCGTGCGCATTTTACGCACAAAAAGTATCAGCGCGCAGGGCCAGACGCCCATGGCCCTGCGCGCTGACCTGATCTGCACCGACGAGCTGTATGTAACAAGAGAGACTCGAGTTAGGCCTTCATCTGCCTTATAAACCTCGACGCTGTCCACGTCCTCAAAAAGAATGGATCTAATTAAAACGTTGCACTCGTCATCATCGCCAAAGCCTCTGCCAAACTGTTTCTTGGTGGAGAGGGGAAAAAAAGGCAGGGAGATGCCGGATCACATGACTGCCTCCAAGCTGCAGAGGGATGGGAGTCAGATTGGGTTTCTCCTCTCCCATTGGCTGAAGGGCCGACTTTTGACACGCAGACCAGGGACCCTCCTGCCGTATAAATAGGCCTGATAGATCTTTATTATTCTAGCATCACGGCAGCAGGCTTCTGCAAAGTTTGGAGTTATTCGTGTCACCACAACTGTATGCCTGCTTAAAGGTGGTTTAAAGACAGGGGCTCTGCGGCACAAGGAGTCTGCATGTCTGTTTAGACATGCTCAGCTTTGTGGATACTCGGATTCTGTTGCTGCTTGCAGTAACATTATATCTAACATCATGCCAATGTAAGTTTTGATTGTCTACTCTTTCTCTGTGATGGATCTATACTTTTTTCCCCCCCTTCTGGGTCCCTACTTCTTGAGGACGTTTTCGCTTGGCTTTTGTTTGGGACCTACATGATGATGGTCAACCTGAACTCAACCGGACTGAGCTCATGCAGAGGATTCTTCACTTTATCAAAGGATACGATTATTATGTGATTAGTTTTTTTTTCTTTTGTTTTGTTTTTGTCTCTTTTTTTTAAGGGATAAGTAAGGAAAAATATTTATGTGGGGGGAGATCTTCATAACAAGTCTCCCCCCATCGTTTAATGCATGTTGAATTAACATTGGCACTATCCTTTAGAAAAATTGGATGGAAAGCTTATGTGGGGCGTTGGACACATTGTTCCATTCACACGGCCAAGAAACGCAGCTTTGCCTTTCACGTTGTAATGTCTCCCCCTGGTGGCCATGGAGGCAAGCACCTATTTGGCACGAATTTAGACTTTTTTTTAAAGAATTCAGTCAACAAGCTACAGTTTGCCTAGTAAGAAATAGCATAGATTGATATAGTCCTAAATTAATATAATTTTTTTAAAATTGAATCTTTAATTAAAAAAAAGAAAAGTTGTTTCTCTCTTTAAAGTTCCTGCTTTTTAGACTGAAAATAACCCCCCAATAACTTGAGAATTTCAAAGAAAAGACCTCAAACGATGCACTTAACTTTAGTTTGAGGTGTGACTTTTGCGTTATAAGGCTTAAAGGCATATGAGGCGAGCAGTCTCACATTAACGCTCTAGTATGCCACCTGCTGGATCAATTTGGACATGACATGCCAGAGTTCACAGGGAGGTCCCAGCAATCCCAGTCATTCGCCTGATCCCAAAGCCATCCAGGGAGGAACCAGTGTTCACCTGCTTCAGAGAATAAACAAGAGAAGCCATCAAGACAAACTAAATACCACCTTTGTCTTATTTCAAGGAGCTCAGCAACAGAATCAAAGCACATTGCAGTATTCTGGAAGTTACAGATGTTATAGGAAATTACCTACATTTCGCCTTGTTTTCAGTGGCGGGCAAAAAAAAATATTCTAGTCCCAAAGGCATACCCTGCTAGTTTGGACCTGTTAGCGATTTGCAGCTTTAATATCTGGAGTGCTGCAGGTTCCCAGAGATTCACGTCCATTGCACGGTTAAAACGCTTCAGAGTGGTTACAGTGAATCACTGAGTTTGTTGAGCCTGCAGCTCCTACTTTTGTCTGAGCTGAGATGTGTTAGGCCGCACGAGAGGAGACTTACTTGTTTTACTGTATAGTTTTTTATTCTTTAAATGTCAAGGAAGGTATGAGTGAAGGAAAACCAATCCTACGTTCAGGCTACACTGAAAGCACAAGGCACAAAATATACCCAGTCTGTCTTTATTTTAATATCTTCAGTCAATACATCATGTTTTTTTTTTTTAATAGATAATGTATGATCTAATTACAATACGGTTGAATACGTCTAGATTGTTTGCTTTGTACATTTTGACATTTTCTAACAGAGTATTCCCTTTTCTCCCCCTGCCCTCTCCATTTCCTCCCTCCTCGCCCGCATCATCATCTCTACGATGCCACAGCGGTTAGTATGCATGCATGCTACCCATCATAACAGCATATCTAAAACACAGCTTTACCTCATCTAGTCCACCTTGTCATGTCTTCCGAATCCCTTGAAACACGTCAGGAAAAAGCCGCTGTCAGCCACTGCTGACCAGTCTGAGCTATCTGAGTCACGGCAAGAGGATTTCTTTTACACTGAGCTGAGCTGTTTCTCTCAGCATTTCCTCTGTCTTCCTGTCCATCGTTAGGTAAGGGGTCCTATTGGCTCTAGATCATGTCAGTGAAAGCTAAAACCGTGGTGCTGAGGCACCCACGAGAGCCTGGCACAAAGGATCCTTTCTGAGGACAGTAGAGAGGGGGCCAAAGGGAGGTTTTCACAGCTAGCTGACTTTGAGTCAGTTTGGAGTCTGTATTTGCCTCTCATTTTAGATAGATGCAAAGACCAAGGTCTGATCTCAGGCCTGTGAGTTGGAGATAAGAAAGAAAAGGCAATTTCTGTCTGAATCACTCTGCTTTGATGGAGATTGCCTAGCCTGACGTTTGACAGTTGGAGCTTTAGCAGCAGTGGCATCTTAAGGTGTACACTGAGTGGTTTTGGTATCACTTCAGAATATTACTTGCTTTAAGGGAACCCTTGTGACTTATTTCTTTATTCTCAAGAAATGATTGAGCTCAACTTTGTTGTGCACTATGTTGAACACTTATACCATATATTCATTACACTGTTGAGGCCTGCTTTCCATTCTGACGTTATGGAAAGCTGTATTCGGGTGTTTGTCTTTCGATGCCTGATAACAATCACAGATTCCCACAAAGTAAGACCAAAGCATGTTGAAATATCAGTACATGTATTTATTCCCATTATATACAAGATGGTGTTTAGGTAACTTCATAGCATAGGATGGATCTATTGGCCTAATACTTGGAATGTCAGATCCACAAAGCACAAGGTTGACTGGAATAGAGATTTTCAGTGTCCAGTAAGATCATTTAAGATGGCCTTTAGCTTGTGTCTACCCCCAACCAATGAATCAAGTTGTTCAGTGCATGTTCAGTGTTTTGACAACATAGCTCTCACTCATGCAATGAGGCCTAAGTCTTCTACTTGATTCCCGATAGGATACTTGCATGTTAAAGCCGTCTAATCTGTGTTGTGGTCTAACCAAGTGATTTCTGCGCTGCAGGGTCCCAGAGGAGACAAAGGACCTCGAGGTGACAGGGTAAGCTGAATTAAAACTCTGCTACCTTTGATCTGCCACGTGAACTCATATAATTATTTGACGAGTGTGTTCTTTACGAAGCGTGATTGGTGAAGTTTCTTGGTGCTGTCTGACCTATTAGCCCCAGTTTGCCACTCCCCTTTGTTTACCATGTATATGATTATTGTTGCCTTTGATGGGAATTTTAACATAAAGGTTTACAGGGCAAAGATTTAGTGTTTTTGCTATGTTACAGTCACTGAAAAATACTTCACAATGACAAGCATTTATGGGGTTTTTTACAACAAATTTGCAGCATGTGATTTTGTAATAGTTTTGTCCGATTGCTAACATGCTTTGTTTGTTAAATCCGTAACACGTCATCATTTGGATTATCTTCTTGTCTCCAGGGCTTACCTGGCCCTAATGGAAAAGATGGCAAACCCGGACTCCCTGGCCCCCCTGGCCCCCCTGGCCCCCCTGGACTCGGAGGAGTACGTCTCCCTTTTACACTCAAGAAATACGCAGTTTTCCGAGAAACATTCATGCATCTTTAAAAATAGTCTCAAGAAACGTTGTTGATGTCACACAAAATCATGTCTTCATTTGAATTGCATAACAGACGCATGTATGATCTTAGTCATTGACTCCTGACCTTCGCCCTTTTGAACTTTTCTAAGACAACACATGCATGCTGCCAAATTAGGTCACTGGTGGGCAACTGGAACGTTGTACAAAAGCTAACAAACTGTTTTAGTCAGTAATATTTTAGGTAAAAACTAGTATATTTATTTCGTCAGAGAATTTCTTTATAAAATTAGATTGTCTTTTCTGTAAAGACTGAAATCACTGTGACCCTGGTGAGGCTAATGTTCACCCTGGCAGTAGCATCGTATGGTTTACTCATGAATTAAATTGAATTAATCATTGTTCTGCTTTTTACCTGCTCAACAGAACTTTGCTGCTCAATATGATGGTGCCAAAGCCCCCGATCCTGGACCCGGACCCCCAGTAAGTTTCCTACCTCTACCTCAATACGTTCCTATTTAACGCCAAATATTGATTTGTATCAATATCTAAAAGCAATGCAGATAAACACAATTTATCTGCGTTGCTTTCAGATTAAATCCATCACAGCGTGACTTGAGATGAATAATTTCACATTCCTTCTTATCAGGGACTGATGGGACCCAGAGGTCCCCCTGGAATGCCTGGACCCCAGGTAAGGGCATAGTTCAAAATTCACCTTGAAATTCAGGTTCTATTCAAATCCGTAAAGACTTTAATAATCCGAAAAGAAAATGCAAAAGATACATCGTTGAAAGAGCCCAGAGAGGCAAAGCAGAAATGTTTTTACATCAATTCTTAGCGACTTATGTGTTTTTCAACAGGGACCTCAAGGACAGACTGGACACTCTGGTGAACCCGGACAGCCTGGACACGATGTGAGTGTACTCCTTCAAATCTTCCGACTAGCTCGAGTTGCCATTGCAACGTTTAAGATTTTAATACTTGATTTCTGTTTTCCAGGGCCCCGTTGGAGCCCGTGGACCCCCTGGACCACCTGGCAAATCTGGAGAAGATGTATGTTTGTGGCCTTTTTTCACCACTTGTTTCAATCTAATTTGAGCAGTTTTTTGTTTTTTTTTACCATTAAACAGCTAATGGTGAGTTTTCTCTTCTATTGATTCATAGGGAAACAATGGCAGACCTGGCAAGCCCGGAGACAGAGGTGCCGCCGGCCCTCAGGTGAGTGGTTCCTACCGGGACACGGAGTTGTGACTTAAATGGAGATTCAGCATTTTTATTGCTTCCTAAACTTCTTTGCTTTGGAATTGTAGGGTGCTCGTGGATTCCCAGGAACTCCTGGACTTCCAGGGATGAAGGGACACAGAGTGAGTGATTTACCTTTTTTTTAACCTTTTCACCCCCGGCCTGTTTGCTGGAACTTGAACTTGGAATAGAAATTTATTGGGGCTCATTAGTCATTATCTGACCCTTCTCTTTTTACCCAAAGAAATTCCTGGATAATTTGAAAATGCCCCAATTTTTATAGTGGTGCCTTTCATAATGACACCTAATGAAGGCCTCCTGTTAAAATTAATTGAATTAAATCTTCACTTGAACTTTGACCATTAGGACAGAGAAATACACATTTATTTTCACTTCACTCCATCTCCCTTCAAGAACTTCTTTATAACAGATCCTTAAAAAATAACAGCTACTATATTAGATTCATTTTCTTAAGTGTCGACCTAAGTGTTGGCTTCTTAGTAACAGCTTTAATCATCTCTACTCTTCTGTGTTGTAGGGTTACACTGGTATTGATGGACGTAAGGGAGAACCCGGCTCTGCTGGCGCCAAGGTACAGCACCGTTCAACACACAGATCACTTTCTCACTTTCTGCTTATCTTTTTATTTTTATTGGAAGCCTGTCTCTTTATTTGTGCTGATCTACTTCATATGTTAGCCTATAATTACATATATAATGGGGATTTCATTTTATTTATTTTTTCCTAACTCTTCCATAGGGTGAGTCTGGTGCCTCTGGATCTCCTGGAAGTCCTGGACTGGCCGTAAGTTCATAATAAAACTCCGTACTCTTCATCTTATATTCCTGCAAGTGTTTCCATCGGCTGTGGTCTTGACTAACTCTGTTGGATGGTCCGTCTTCAGGGACAACGTGGTCAGCCTGGTGAGAGAGGTCGCCCCGGCCCTGCTGGTCCTTCTGGTGCTCGTGGTTCTGATGGCAATGTTGGACCTGCTGGCCCAGCTGTGAGTAAACCTTCTTTATTTCCAGTCAAAGGAACGAACGAGAGACACTGATGATGTCAGAGAACTCCTCACACCACGATTGTTCTTCCTCCTTTATCCAGGGTCCTTTGGGTGCTGCTGGCCCCCCAGGCTTCCCAGGCGGTCCTGGAACCAAGGTACATGTCTTGTCACTTCCTGTTAAATAGCCGAAAATCTTGTCACAAAAACATTTGAAAACTGTACTTTGTAGTCTTTCTGTTTTGTACACTACATCGCCAAATGAAAAGCACAAGTGTTGTATATTTTCAGCAATATATACATTTTTGAACACACACTTCTTCAAATAACATTTAATTCTTAATCACAGCCTTCTCTCCATCACCAATAAATGAAAAATAATTCAAATGTTGTCACTAACAGGGAGAGGTTGGAGCTGCTGGAGGCACTGGCCCATCTGGACCTCAGGGATCCAGAGGAGAGCCCGGACCCAATGGTGTTGTTGGCCCAATTGGTCCCCCTGTAAGTAAAAAAAAAAAGAAAAGAAAAGAAATAGTCAACTGACATATTTTTAAAACTATTATTTGTCTGGGAGATGACTTTTAGTCCATGTTATACTATTGAACCCTGGAAAGAGGCTTGTTTTGTAGTTTCTCTTTGAAAATAAGGGGTAACTTCTATTTTTTTTTTCTTGTTTTGACATGTACATTTTCTAACATGTACTTCTGTGAACTGATTTTTATGATTCACTTGATATATAGAAATAATATATAATATAATTTTAAAACCGAGAGAGGAATAGTGTAATTATATTGTACTTGTAGGGGATTCAGGCACTTCTGTAAACATTTCATTTGAAAATATTAAGACATCATACAGATTTATTAGACTTTTTAGATCATCTCCATGTCCTAATTAGGTTTTCATAGCACTGAATGTAATTGGACTGAATCCGACCGTATGACCACATTGTACTAGAATTAAAATTGATCGCATTCCTTATGACTGTATTTGAACTGAGATTGCTCGTAAATTGCCTTTTGATAAGTTAGATTAGTTGTAATTTGGGGCTATGTAAACATCAATAATTAAATGAAATTAATTTTTCTCTACTTTTCCCATAGGGCAACCCTGGTACTAATGGTCTGAATGGAGCCAAGGGAGCTGCTGTGAGTACACACTCTGTTACTGAACCAGTTTTTGGCGTATTCTGTGATTTGCATACACGTAAATCGTTTTGCAGTAGGTCCACACATTTATACGCCAAATACACACAGTCTATACAGTCCCTAAAAGAAAAGTGTGTACTTCCTTTAGTTGATGAGCTGGACTTCACCCCATATCCGATTTTAGTTGCATGCCTACATATACTCAATAAGTTGGATGCATTAGAAAAAATAATCTCGCTTTGTAACACCTGACACACACAAACTCAACCGTTTTTGTATTCCTATTGATGATCAGTTGGATGTATAAAAAAAAACAACAGAGGGCATTATGTTGAACTCTGGTTCTGAAAGATTTACCAAATGCCAATGCTGACCTGTCTCCCTTCATACTGTAAAGGGAACCCCCGGTGTTGCTGGAGCTCCTGGTTTCCCCGGACCAAGAGGAGGACCCGGACCTCAGGGACCTCAGGGTGCTGCTGGACCAAGAGGACTTTCTGTGAGTATAAACCCTCTGGAAAGATTAATCCACTCCATCAACTGTTGCTTCATGACATCCATGTAGATCGGCCTCGCACATCTCAGCCTCCGCTGATTCTGACTTCTTATTTCGACTGGTCTCCAGTTCTAAAATGTTATCTCTTAACTTTTTTTTTTATTAATATGAGGTGACAGATTGCACAGAATGCACAAATTTATAGCACTTTACATATGCATTGCTACAATAATAATGGAGTAGAAGCAGTGCTTGTACAGCAGAAGCTTTACAAAAGAAAGCCAATTGCTCTGCATGTCCAAATGCAGAGATAATGCTACTGTTTAGCAATGCACACTAATCACACGTGATGCTTTTACTGGTAAATGTTAAGAAAACACCTATAACATATATGATTGCTCTTTGGTTGAATTGCTTTTCTGTTTCTCTGTGTGTTTTAGGGTGATCCCGGTCCTCAGGGTGTCAAGGGAGACACTGGTGGCAAAGGAGAGCCTGTAAGTTTAAGGGATGATTTATTCAACATGCAAAAGCAAATCTGTTCAAGGCGCTAAACCTCACTGCTGCCTCCCTCAGGGTAACGCTGGCCCTCAGGGACCTCCCGGAACTCAAGGTGAGGAGGGCAAGAGAGGACCCACTGGTGAGATTGGTGCTAATGGGCCTGCTGGCAGCCGTGGTGCTAGAGTAAGTGTCCTCCCATAATCTGTTGTGGAAGTCTTTGACCTTTGACCTAGCTTCAGTTGCTAATAGCCGCATGTCACCCTCAGGGTGCTCCCGGAAGCCGTGGTCTGCCTGGTTCCGACGGAAGAACTGGCCCAATTGTGAGCATTACGCCCAAGACACTCAAACATCTGTCCATTCAGGGAGCTGCTATATTTCTAATTTCGACCACTTTCTGACCACAACAGGGTATGCCTGGTGCCCGTGGTGCTACTGGTGCTGCTGGACCTCGTGGACCCCCTGGAGATGCCGGTCGTGCTGGCGAGCCTGGCCCTGCTGGTCTCAGAGTGAGTCATTTCTTCATGTAAAGAATAGACCATCTTAGAGTGACAATGAACTTGGTTTATAAAGGGACGATGTACAACTCAAACAGGAATGTCATTAACTGATGACACCAGATTACAGCAAAAGCTAATTCGCTTCTGCAGTCCCCCTGAAACTGTGGGCTCTTCATAACCTCTCCATGTCTGTTTTCTAAAGGGTCTCCCAGGAAGCCCTGGAAGCTCTGGACCCCCAGGAAAGGAGGGACCTTCTGTGAGTAAACCTTAGTTTTACTCTCTCTCTAGAGAGTTGCTGCTGGTCTCATGACCGTTTCTCCGATGGATTGAGGTAACGCTTCTTCGTCTTCCAGGGTCCTGCTGGACAAGATGGCCGTTCTGGACCTCCTGGCCCAACTGGACCTAGAGGCCAGCCCGGAAACATTGGTTTCCCTGGACCCAAAGGACCCTCTGTGAGTGGGCGTTATGCAGGACCTGAAAAAATAAATAAATAAATGAGCAGTTCAAATTGTACCCGTTTGTTTCAGCTCCATCTTACCTATAAATCCTGTTTTCCCTCAGGGAGAGCCTGGCAAACCTGGAGAGAAGGGACCCAGTGGCCCCACTGGACTGAGAGTATGTCAGAAAATATAATGCTATGAAAGCATAAACATTTGCAGACATTTCTGTTTCAGTTGTTCGGTGTTACTGTATGCTTAGTTGCTGTCTCTGTCATCAGGGACCCCCTGGACCTGATGGCAACAACGGAGCCACTGGCCCCATGGGAGTTACTGTAAGTGCCTCTGCATACAAGGCTTACTGTAATATCTATTCTGGCAAATGAGCCATGCAAAATATGATTTTAGCATCCATTTTCAAGAATGTCTTCTCCTTGATGTAGGGCAGTCCCGGTGAGAAGGGAGAGCAGGGACCAGCTGGAGCTCCTGGCTTCCAGGTTTGAACATTTCTCTCCTCTGGTTACCAAAACGGAGGCGATACAAGGAGATAAAGGCATTTCTGATGGCTACATGTCGTCTTAGCATTGAATGTTTATGGACATCTTTCTTCATGGCCTGTCCTGGTCTTAGTTTAGCTGAGAAAGCTATGTGCTTTAGTAGCACATAGCTTCCATCCAGATTTAGCAAGTTAACCTTTAGCAAGTTCATGTTGTTTACACTGAGGGCAACATCACCATTTTTGTCTGTTTAGTGAGAAATACTCTGAGGGTTTGAGTTTTAGGTAATAATCTGACAGTAAAGAGCACTTTTATACCAATTTCTGTAATTTTTTTTTTTAAATGAATTAAAATCAATGTACTATTTTCTTGTTTGTGACTGTTGGATCTTGTGTTAACACTTGGTGTTTGTAGGGTCTGCCTGGACCTGCTGGATCTGTCGGTGAGGCTGGCAAGCCTGGAGAGAGAGTAAGTATATGAGCTGAAAACAAGTTTCGCGGATGAAACACAAATGTGTTAGGTTTGCAGTCTAACCAAACCTAACCAAAACGATGTGGTGCTCCAGGGTATCCCAGGAGAGCAGGGAGCCGCTGGACCAGCTGGTGGCAAGGTGAGGTCACTTTGCTTTCACACGCATGTTCAAGAACCAGGAGATCAGAGATTTAAATAAGCATCTATACTCTGCAGGGAGAGCGTGGTAACCCAGGTGCTGCTGGAGCTTCTGGAGCTCAGGGACCAATTGGACCCCGTGGACCAGCTGGAGCCCCCGGACCTGATGGTGGCAAGGTAATCCAAAGGAAGCAAAATATGTCAAAAACCTATTATGATTTTTTTTTTTTTAAATGCAAGGAAGAGAAACAAACAAATGACTTTTTTTTTCTTTTCTGCTGCTAGGGAGAGCCAGGAGCTGCTGGAGCTGCTGGGGCTGCCGGACATCAAGGATCTGCTGGAATCCCTGGAGAGCGTGGCGTAGCCGGTGCTCCAGGAGGCAAGGGAGAGAAGGTAAATTTAAGAGAGGAAAAAAAATCTACCACATCCACATTTTTTTTACTATATTCTATTTGAAAGTTACAGCCCGTCTAACTACTGCTTTCATTTTCAGGGAGAGACCGGACACAGAGGCCCTGATGGAAATCCTGGCAGAGATGGCGCTCGTGTAGGTTAAACTCTCCTGTTCTTTTGAGATACACCTAAAAGCAAAATACTGGAGCTTGTACCCCTTATTGACTATCCCCTTTAATCTCCTACCAGGGCCCTGCTGGACCTCCTGGCCCTCCTGGACCCACTGGAGCCAACGGTGATAAGGTCAGTTGGTGTATTAGTTGCGAGAAATGGATAACTGGACAAATCTTGGCAAATGACACCAGCGCAGGACTATTCCTGCCAAACAAACAAATATGAGCAAAATAAATGCATGCTATGAATGACTCCTGCCAACACTTACCTGCCAACCATCAAGATAGACGTCTTAAACCAAAGCTTTGCAACACTAAACTATCAGGAGAAGCAGTTGGGATTACAGAAGTGTAAAAATATGATTTCTGAACAAACCTGTACGTTCGTTTTCAAATCTTTTGTTTCTCTGCGGTAGTATCCAAATTAAACCTGTACCAAATTGCTATATTTATAGCAACAGCCTTACTACTGCCATCTGGTGGCTATTTTACAAACTGCAGCAACAATCCAGCTAATAACCTAGCAAAAGATGACAGACCGTGGATATGATTTTTTTTTTTTTTTTATAAAAATGTTCATAGTTTTTTCTTCCATATCTGTCATTATTTTAATCCCTTTTGTTAATTTTTAACAAAACATGAATATTTTTAGATACACATATAGCATTTATATGACGTATCATAATCAGAAGAAATGGGATGTATTTTCTGTTTGGTATTTATTCATATAAAACGATTGTATAATTCAGGAATGTCATACTCATTTTCACTTTGGACCACATCAAGATCAGGAATATTTCTGGAAGGGCCAGTTGTGAGAGAATGTACTGATAAAACCCATTAATATTCTTTGAAAATATTAATAAATAGCTGCATCTGCATTCGATAAGTACTTAAAATAAATAACACCGAACATCGTTTCACGTCAATGTTATTTGGCAGACTATGGATAAAAATTGCTTTTATTTTATTTATTAAAATAATATTTTCGCACACAACTGTTATCTTGAAGGCCCTATTTATGTGGCGTTGTGGCCACATAAAAAGCCATTCAGTTTGAGACATATATTGTATATTGTATTGATTAAGCATTAGAGTAATTCTCATCCTGTCTTTTGTCTTTTTTAGGGTGAAGTTGGTTCCTTTGGACCTTCTGGCCCTGCTGGACCTCGTGGACCCTCTGTAAGATAGATTTCCTATTATTTACATACCATAAAACAAGGTGTTAGTGAGCCTTTTCTGACCAAGTTCCTCTTACCTACAGGGTGAGCGTGGAGAGGTTGGACCTGCCGGAGCCCCCGGATTTGCTGGACCCCCTGTAAGCCTGATTCTTTAATAGATTAAAATCACAATGAGATTGGGATTAACGCATATACTGAAGACTTGCTTAACGAGCAAAAAAGCTTGTCCAAACGTTTACTTAGCTCTTCTTTGGTTCTCCCACAGGGTCTCGATGGTCAGTCCGGAGCCAGAGGAGAGCGTGGACCCGCCGGAGCTAAGGGAGAGGCTGGATCCGCTGGCCCTGCTGGACCCGCTGGACAGTCTGGACCTGCTGTAAGCACATGCACAGTCTTGCTTTCTCACTCTTGTTACGATTGCAGTTCAAACAGCGTAATAGGATATGATGATATTTGAAAAGATGAAGAGATTTTTCTTATTTTTGTTTTTTATTTTTTTGTTATCTAGGGCCCCTCTGGCCCTGCTGGACCTCCTGGCGCTCGTGGAGAAACTGGTCCTCCAGTGAGTACTCGATTAAAAGCTCAAATGCAGTAACACATGTTTTATATGCACCTGTCACACACATGCTTTCTGTCGTCACATTTCAAGTCCACTTTCTGGTATACCTCCTTATTCCTAATAATAGTTGGGATACAGCAGCATTATCTGCTAAATTCAGAGATATAACACATGCTTAGCTTTAATAAATGTCACACTCTTTTTCAAAGATACACATAAACCTTAAAGTATTAATTAACTGTGTTTGGTTCAGTTTTTTTTATTTATTAAAAAGCACATGCATGCCTATAAGACTCTGTTTCTAATCTCTGTGTGTGTTTTTCTCAGGGTCTGACCGGTTTGCCTGGTGCTGCTGGCAGAGTTGGTGCTCCCGGCCCTGCTGTGAGTACTTTCACTGAGCAGTTTTCCATAAAAACAAACATACACACACACACACACACACACACAAATAAGCCACACATTACACATTGTAACCCTCTCTCCTTTTTTCTCAGGGTATTGTGGGACCTCCTGGCCCCTCCGGTAACGCTGGCAAAGACGGACCTCGTGGTCTCCGTGGCGACCCTGGTCCTGCTGGTCCTTCTGGTGAGCAGGGAATGGTTGGACCACCCGGTCCTCCCGGAGAGAAGGGACCCTCCGGAGAGTCTGGTCCCGCTGTAAGTACTATGAAATCACATAAAAGAAACATGGCGGGGGAATGATAAAAATACTGAGAATTTAATGAAATGTCCCTACACATCCCCTCAAATTGTTATAGTGATTAATCATGAGTGTTTGTGCGTATCGTCAGGGAATTCCTGGTGCTCCTGGACCCACTGGACCTCTGGGAATTACAGGATTCGTTGGTCTGCCTGGTGCTAGAGGAGATCGTGGTTTACCTGGTGGTCCTGGTCCTGCGGTAAGTGCAAGTTAGTACCTAGACCCCTCTCCCCCTGCCTAAGGACAAAGTAGAAAGCCATCTTATCAATCATGTTATATCTCAGTGGCACAGAAATGTAATCAAACTGCTCAAGCAAAGGATCACAGATCTTTAAACAGCTCCAGAGATAAACTGGAATGTATTTCTACTGATAATTAACATCCTATCTTCTTCAACATGTCTCACCCTATTTTCTATTTTATATAATTACAGGGAGAGCCTGGCAGACCTGGACCTCCCGGTCCATCTGGAGCCCGTGGTCCCCCTGGTAACATTGGCATGCCTGGTATGACCGGACCTCAAGGAGAGGCTGGACGCGAGGTAACACTTACTCCGAAAATCAGCTAGTTAGCTAGTTAGTTTGTGTTGAAATGTAGAAAAGAATGATTGCTTAATATATGAGTCCTAGTGTAGTTATTAATATATATATATATATATATATATATATGTATGTGTGTGTGTACATATAAACACTATCAACTTATTTCTCAACCAATGCAGACTCATCTTACAAGCACAAAACTAGCATAAATTAAACAGAAAGTCGAGTGACTGTAACCAAACCAAACGGGAAAAAAAAGTATGGAAAGTCACTGGTAAAAAGAAGCATCCTATAATTTCCAGGTTCCACACAGCACCATTTTGTAGAAGCAATAGACTGACCTGTTCACCTCTTTAAGGAGTAGGTGAAATGTTTTCCCATTCCTGACAACAAACAACAAAGCTGCATGGTTAGCCTGGATATGTTGCTAGGCTATTAGCTTTACCTTATACTCGGTATGCTTTTCTGTCTTGTGGACAGCGAAAACCTCGTTTTGCTTCTCCCAGATAACCCAGATTAGGAGCGCATTTTAGCAACAACAACTGTGACACACTTCTTACCTCTGATGGTTTTCTAGTAACTTGTCAAATGAGAAGTTGTGTGTCTCTATGATTTTAAAAAAGGCTAAATACAATCAATAAGCACAAGACTTACATTATTTAAAAATAGAAAGCGGTTAAAAAGATTTCAGAGTTTTAGAAAAAAATATTTAGGGCCCTGCTTCCCAAATGTGCGTCATCTGTAAAAAATAAAAAATAAAAAAATGTTAATGTAGCTCATTTGACTAGCTAAGCTAATGACAGATAACATCTCTGATGACTGTTATTGCGGTTTGTGCTTAAAATGTGTAAATGTGCTGCAGTTTCTTCCTAGCGTCAAACACCAGCAGGAATATTCTGAATCAGAAATTTTGTAAGGCAAATTTCAGCTTTTAAAAGTTTACTTCAAGGTTTGAGACAGTTGTATTACCGCTACTGATATAAGATGAAGAAAAGTGGATAAAACTCAATGTTTCAATAAATTTCAAGTCAAGAAATCATTTATGGAATTGGCATACTTATTCTCAAAACAGCTATAGAAAGAAATGGGTTACAAGTTGACCTAGATAATACTTTTCTTCATTAGTCCATGACTTAACAAGTATAAATTATGTCCAAAATGCAGATTGTAACCCTATCTGCCTATGGTAAAAAAAAATAAATAAAAAATAAGGAGATTACAAACTTAAATCATCCTTCAAATAATGCGAATGCATTATTAAGTTTTGTCTCTTTATATACTGAATCAATATATTGGATATACTGATTGAATTCCTTTTTCTCACATGAAAAACAGAAATAATTATATTAGTTGTGGGTTTCATTATTGTAGTGTAGGCCACTATAACTGTATACACAGAGAAACTGGAGCTAATCAAGAAGAATTAAGGACAACATCACTTGCTTTAGCATCTCATATGTATATTTCACAAAGTTTGTTAATGAATGTTTTTATACCCACTCTTTGTCCGAAACAGGGTAGCCCTGGTAACGATGGACCCCCTGGTCGTCCCGGTGCTTCTGGATTCAAGGTAACGTCTTGAGGGTACATTTAAACATGACTATTTGCAGGAGAAAAACACACTACGCTCTGAGCTGCATGTTCCCTTGTTTGTCACGCTTAGGGAGACCGCGGTGAGCCTGGATCTCCTGGTGCCTTGGGACTTGCTGGTGCTCCCGGACCTGCCGGACCAACTGGAGCTGCTGGCAGACCTGGAAACCGTGGAGAGGCTGTAATTATCGCTCTTCTTTGTCTGTTCAAATTGCTTAACTTTAACCATATCAGCGTGTCTCATTCACATATTTGCTGATGTTTTCCCTAGGGCCCATCAGGTCCTTCTGGACCCGCTGGACCCGCTGGAGCCAGAGGCGCCCCAGTAAGTACAATAAATATGCCACACAATTTGGTTCCATGAAACAAAGCAACAACACATTTCTATGGCCTTGTGTGATGACGGAAATAAAGGCTGATACATGTGTGTTGTAGGGACCTGCCGGACCCCGTGGTGAGAAGGGAGTTGCTGGAGACAAGGGAGACAGAGGCATGAAGGGTCTTCGTGGACATCCTGGTCTCCAGGGAATGCCTGGACCTTCTGTGAGTATCATTTGATTGACTCTGGTGTAAATTTTGGGAGATGGAGGGCATACAGAATGTGTATGATTTGGGACTTTCCTTTTCCTGCAGGGACCTCCTGGTGAGAGCGGTCCTGCTGGAGCCCTTGGACATGCTGGACCTAGAGTGAGTTTAATGCTGAATTAGAGCCTATTCTTGATTTGTTCTTGAGGTGAACATAAGTGTGAAGCCACTGTCTTACACAAAACTTAGTTCAAAGTTATCCAATGTAGTGGTGTATTTTAATTAAAGTTGGATTTTTCAACTTCCCATTCAGAAATGCAGCAATAATCTCTTTGAAACTCTTAGTGGGAAAGTATCAAAGAACCCCCAAGTTAATGGATCACAATCTCTATTTACAATCATGGTGCTTTAGAAAAAAAAACTTTATTAGCGCACACTGCTACTTGAGGTTAGCATCAGAACAAGCAGCAAATCCTGCAGATTTTCTGGCTTGCAACTTGAAGGAGCTCATCTCCTGGGTAGCCTGGGTATTGACTGCATTCCCAGGACTGAGCTCTGACTTTCTTGACAAATCAAATGCAGCATTTCTTCACGTTAGCAGATTTCTTTCACACAACATTGCAAAAAAGAAAACGAAAAAGAAGTGGGTTGCCTATTAAAAGACTTCTTTGACACTGGGCCTACAAGTTCCATGCATGCTATAATTGTTAGCTGTACATTATTTTAAATGACTGTAAACAATTATCTCTTCTTTAGGGACCTGCTGGACCCAATGGACCCCCTGGTAAAGATGGTAGAGCTGGCACACATGGTCCTATGGGTCCTCCTGGTTCCCGTGGACCTCCTGGATATGTTGGACCAGTTGTAAGTTTGACTTTCCATAGCCTATGTATCAGACAGATTTGTGTTCTATGTGATTCAGATCAACTGTCATATCCACTGTAGGGCCCTCCTGGATCTCCTGGTCTGCCTGGACCTCCTGGCCCATCTGGTGGCGGATACGACGTCTCCGGATACGACGAATACAGAGCTGATCAGCCAGCTCTCAGAGCCAAGGACTACGAAGTCGATGCCACCATCAAGTCTCTCAACACCCAGATTGACAACCTGCTTACCCCCGAGGGATCCAGAAAGAACCCTGCCCGCACCTGCCGTGACATCAAGCTCAGCCACCCCGACTGGAGCAGCGGTAAGCAGCTTATAGGCCCCGGTTTAGTATGATACATTTATATTAGCTTGCCATCTTCCTCCAAACCCATAACATACCCCATGCCTTCTCCTCCTCAGGATTCTACTGGATCGACCCCAACCAGGGCTGCATCAATGATGCCATCAAGGTCTTCTGCGACTTTACCACCCGCGAGACCTGCATCTATGCCCACCCAGAGAGCATTGCACGCAAGAACTGGTACAGAAGCACAGAAAACAGGAAGCACGTGTGGTTCGGAGAGACCATCAACGGCGGCACCGAGGTGAGAAGGGGACGCAGTCAAATAAGAATGCCTACTCTGAATTTGGCCGTCCTTTGAAATCCTCACTTTTCTTTTTGGTTCTGCCCTGTAGTTCACCTACAACGACGAGACCCTCAGCCCACAGAGCATGGCCACGCAGCTGGCTTTCATGCGCCTGCTTTCCAACCAGGCTAGCCAGAACATCACCTACCACTGCAAGAACAGCATTGCCTACATGGATGGTGAGAGCGGCAACCTGAAGAAGGCCGTTGTGCTCCAGGGCTCCAACGATGTGGAGCTCAGGGCCGAGGGCAACAGCCGCTTCACCTTCTCCGTGCTGGAGGATGGCTGCACTGTAAGTACAGTTTTTGCTTCTTTTTTTTTTTAGGCTCTTTGTAGAGATTGAACTCCACCGTTTTTCAATGTCTAATCTCCTTCTTTTTTTTTTTTTTGCCTTCGCCTTCGCCTTTTGCAGACACACACTGGTGAGTGGAGCAAGACAGTGATTGAGTACAGAACAAATAAACCAACTCGCCTCCCCATCCTCGACATTGCACCTTTGGACATTGGTGGACCTGATCAGGAGTTTGGTTTGGACATTGGCCCAGTCTGTTTCAAATAAATAGACTCATGATAAATTAACACCAAAAAGAGAGAAAGAACGAAAAAAAAAAAGAAATCTCTGCCCTTCTCTGTTTTTTTTTTTTTGTACTGAATGCTGACTTCTCTCTGCACATCCACTTGCTTAAGATGGGCAACTATCGGAGAGGACCGAACGGACTGAACGGAGATTTTGTGCAATGCAAATTAATACAGCCAAACCCAAAGGGACGCGGGGAAACACCTTGTTGTGGAACATCATGGCATCTTTTTTTGTAAAAAATAAAAGAAGTGTAATAAAAATGCTGAAAGTATGCATCACTTTTTGTGGTCTTTGTATATCTTCCAAAGAAGAGGTTTAAAACCACAATTTCCAAGAACAAAAAAGGTTTGAACTACCTCATGCCTGTACTCAAAGAAAATAGTATTGACAAAAACCTGAGTCCACAACCGAGATGTTAAGACTTCTAATGCTTCAAGCTTTGTCCTGCTTGGAAGGTGCTCAGTTACTTGAAGCAGAGACCTATGGTGCTAAATGCAGCTGTGGAACGAACCACTTTTTACTGTATTACTTTGTATTGACCTGTGAGGAGTCTTACATCAATCCCGCTGATACTCCCCCACTTTAAGCAGGTGGAATGTTCCTAAACCCTTATGTCTAATGTCTGTTTTCTGTTTTTTTTTTTTTTTTTAATTTTCTGACTTTTTTTTTGTCCTTCAGAGTTTTTTCAGGCTTTTCTTTTGTACTGCCCCAGTTCACATTGACAGCACACTTTTCTTCCAATCCCAAATGGTTTTCAGGCGGCCTTTCTCTCTCTCTCTCAAACAATGACACCACAAAGTCTATTGTACCTATTTTGTATATGTGAGATGTTTAAATAAATTGTGAAAAGTTCTGAAATAAAGCATGTCCAATGTTCCAAAACCCACAAATCATGCAGTGACTTTTATGTTTTAATGACATCATTGAAGGTGTGTCACTGTAATGTATTTTTTTTATTTTTTAGTTTTTTTAAAATATATATATATATAATTTCATCTGGTCTTAGTTGTGCTGACGATTTATGTATCAGCATTGACTTAAACATCTTCCTATTGTGGAAGCAGAACACTATCATGAGTCACATCCCCCTTTATGTTGCCTCCCATCAGAACATCCAACTTTAATGTACAGTAAACTTCTGTTTACACTCTCCATGTCATTGTGTGATTTCTAATGTGCATTTTTCTTGTAAATATGCATTCTCCAATGTAGCTTTTGTTTCTTGCATAAAACAGCTTTTGCATCCAAATAAACCTCGTGAGTTTGGATCAAGGCTTAAACTGTTTTGGTGCATGACTACAGACCTTAGCTTCTTTATATGACCCAGCATTGCAGATATTTTACACACGTTGTTTAAATGACTTAGAAGCACCGAGGACAGATACTTAAAGGTCCTTTGGAGACTTGTCAGTGGTGCAAATACTGCTGAGATAGGCTTCAGTACCACGAACAGTACAGGAAGTGGGCGAGGAAATGCCTTGAAAACAGGGTGCGACGGATTTGTGAAAGCTGCAACTCACGTCACTGCTAAATGTAGTCAGCTGCAATATCAATTACAACCACAAGATGGCAGTGAGGTATAAATGTATCTAACACTGTAAGGGGTGCCAAAAAGAAACAAGTTGAGCATTTAATTTTAATACAACTGGCATCAGATTTATAAGTGCCAATAAGTCGGAGTAAAAGCTAATTTATATTTAGAAATTTAAAAATACCAATGGATGCAAAAACACAGACATTTATTGATAATACAATCAATGAAGGGAGCATATGACAACAAATTTCTGGGTGCCATGGTATACCGCATAATCTGCTTGAAAATTCAAGGAAGACATGCAAAAATTAAATTAGTAAAAGTGCTACAGCTATGGGGAAATTGGGATCATAGATTAATGAATACTCTATGTAACTCACTTGTCATGTATTACACTACATGTGTGGAAGTTTGGGGTAACACCTATGCAAAAATCTACAATCCTTACACATACTACAAAAATGAGAAATCACAAATTAACTGTATTTAATGTTACACATGTTAAAACTGGCCGGTTTGATCAAATCCAAAATGACAATAATTATGTCCAATTTACTTAAAAGCAATATCCTAGAAATCTTTACAGAGAAGGCAGTTTACAATTTAAGTTGTAAAGAGAATGTGTGGGTACAGCAAAAATGAGTTTGTGTGTTTCAATTTGGCTTAGAACAAAGTCAAAACATGAATGAATTTAAAAAACTACAACAAAAAGACATTTAGGAGACACATAAAGCTGAGGGTGGGTGAGTTTTAGTGAAAACCTCACTAAAAGCCTTCACTTGTTATACTGTGCTATCACATCAGATTTGAATCTGATGCAAAACCTCTTTATACAGAAACTGGGTGTTTTAGATTGTATGGTTTGTTGGTATGCAAAATATTTAGGCAGCCTTGCAAAACCAGTTTATGCAATTTCATGCACAACTAAATTGACCCTTGTATCTTCATCAAAATGGATGGAACACCCCAATGAATTTAGAACATATCACAGTTTCTATGGCAGTCTATATCCATAAAAAAAGTCAGCCACACCTGTACAGAGTAACCAGTGGAAACTTGTTCTTGTAGGGCAGATTGCACAGTGACATTTGTATTGTGCTTTGTGCTGCCAATCATGAGGGTGTTGTTCTGTGCTAGTGAGGATTAGTATTGATTATGCCTTAGCCGCTTTTTTTTTTTTTTTTTTTAGAGTTTGACAATGTGGTCAGACCAGTATTTCATGGAAAAGCAAAGTCAATGTTTGTTCTCCTATTAAAAATCACATGATCGTCATCAATATGTTTGTTTAAGGTAGTTACAGCATAGAGCTCACAGAGCTTGTAAAATACTGGGGTGTGCTCTTCTTTTCTCATCCAACCATAAAGTCAATAGTGTTTCACTGGTAAAAAACCTCAGATTGTGTGATTTAACATATGAGGAAAATAAGTAACTTATTAAAGAACTATAGACTGACAGGAAAGTCACACAGTCACCCACCTGAAAGTATAAAGCACTCAGAGGAAACATACAAGTAGTGGAGTCCTAGCAGAGAAGCCGGGCTGTATGGAAAGCAGATAGAGCGTCAAGCAGCCAAGAGTCCCATGGTAACTCTGGAGGAGACCCAGGTCACAGAATCTGTCAGCATGATAACTATTATTCATGCATCCCGCTTATTTGCTGCTCATTGAAGATTGGCATAAAGGAAGGAACAGAATGGACAAAAATATCAGCCTCTAGATGCGCAAAACAGGTAGATATAATCCAAAAGACTTGAATCTGCAATTGCACTGAAAGATTGTTGTTAATTTACTTGACATTACCTGACTATTACTCAAATTATTAAGCGTAAAAATAAAATTTTAGCACTTCATGTACTTTTCCTTCTGTTTCAGAAACTCATATAAAAAGACAGTAAAGTTTGTGGTTCTGAATCATCAAAATGTAAGGCTCACGGGGTACAGAAACCTTTGCGAGGCAAGTATGACGTGACATTCATCTGGAAAACTGATAACCCTTGGAAAACCATCTCAAACGCTAAAATTCATAAAATAAATTTACCCTGACTTCACCTCTGAAGGTTTTAGTATTGGACTTTGCCCAGTAGATTGTGGTTTATAACATACAAAAAGGTATGCTCCGCCCAACATAGCATTTTCAAAAACTCCAACAATCCTTCCAGTACTATTAATAACAAGAACAATAAGGTTTCCTTAGCCCTGGAAGTTGTTCCACTCCCTATATTTTTGAAACCTTGAGATAGAAGGTATGCAAGGCTCTGCACATTGTTCAGGACAACCCGGTTTATCCAGTTCGAAGGCTCCAAAAGATTCACGGTATTTTTAAATGTCCCTGTCTTCATGAGAGGGAAGGCGCGCGACTTTTACGGTTGACACTGGAGTTTTAAAAACTGCACTCGAGGCAGTTGGAAACTTTTCTTGTTTTTAAGACTGAAAAGACGCGCGGCTTTACATAAGCTTGGAAAAAGTTCATCATTAGGAATATAAACAGCCATCCCGAACACTCGCGGCGACTCTGCTGAGGCGGTGATGGAGACCGAAGAGGAGGCAGTGCCGCATGAGTCGAAGCGGACAGGTGGTGCTGCGCTGCCGCTGCTGGACTACACAGCTGCCTGTTGTCATGGAGGAGCAAAGATGGCGGTCCTGGCCTACAGCCTGGGCAAACGCGAAATAAATCAACATTTTACAATCAAGAATGCCAAACTGATATCGCTGGCGGCGGTTCTTTTGCTGCTCTTGTTCCACACGGCTTTGCGGCATTACGGAGGTAAGTGGAGCGCCGCTATTTGAACTGACGGTTGATGCTCCCCACACTTGACACAAGCTAACAGCAGCTAGCTCACTGTTAGGGTCTGGGAGCGCTTCGGCTCGCTGGTACAGTGCACTGTTTGTTTCATGGGGGTGAATAAAAAGATTGGAAATGGCATAAAATGTATGTAATGTTGTTTAAACTGCACTAGGCAAGCCTCGCAGCGGAAGCGTGGATGTTTAAACAGGCTAGCTAAATATGAAGCTAGCATACTGTAGCTCTACTTATGTCAAAACCTGCTTTAATATTCGTAAGATTGAAATATTCATTAAGCAAACACTGGATAAATAGAACCAGTGAAATAGTTAGTCGTAGCTTTCGTGTTTTTCTTGTTAGCTGAGCGTTGGACAGAGTCTTGTAAAACGCATAGAAAACTTGAAAAATAACCCTTAAACATTGTCATTACAAATGTAGAATTATAAAGGTGCATTTCTTTTGCTGAATAATAATGAGAGGAATAAGAATAATAAACAATTATTATTATTTAATTTTGTTAAGTGTTTATTTAATTTAGTAAAGTGACTATTTAAAATAAAATCTGAAACAGCAAAGTGTAGTGGGTTATTTTAATCATTGTCATTAGCTAAGCTTCTTTCTTCTTCTTTTTTTAATTATAGATTTTTGAACCGGAATACAGCCTCTAAAATCGATTTAAATTACATAATAGGTCGTGGGGAAATGTAAAACTATGAAGTGTAGTAATAGTGTAAAAACAAAAAAGTTTAACAAAATATAAAACCTTTTAATATTTGTGTAGCAGCACACAAATACCTGTGTCCTGCTACCAGTCTAAAGAGACTTATACGCTGAGCAGCTGCTTTGAATGTGTGGTGGCAGTAAAGCCTGTGTCAGTCACCAGCTTCCGTCCGTCTTTCATGCTTTGTGAGTTGCAGCTGCATTCATTTTGCACATAAATGAATAGCCAGAGTGAATTACACTCAAGCCAGATTGCGCACGGCTTTATTTTGTTACAAAGCCACCCAACCTGAGCGGCACTGTGCTGAATGAAATGCCACGGTGCTGTTTGCACATCAGTGAAAAGTGAGTTGTTGTTCACACTTACTCTTAGATTCTGTGTGTGTGTTTCTAGGTGGAGACTCATGTGAATGGCTGCTGTCCAAAGGACGCTACTTGGGGGAGAATGTATGGCAGCCTTATGGCTGTATGATGCACAAATACAAAAGCAAGTGAGTCATACGAATAGCTGTTCCTCTGTGTGTTTGAAAGCAAGGGTGGATGCGCAATAGTTACATTTAGTGAAAGAAATGGAAATGTTTGCATAGTTCCTACCTGTTTGCAAAGATGAATGAAACTTAAAGTAAATTGTTACAACATTGCATAATTGGAATCGACATGCAAGTGAATTAAATATTTCAAGCAACTGCTGGCTGTCTTTGTGAAACGGTTACCTGTTTTCTCTTAAAAATGTTTATTTTATTGAAGATTTGCGAATACCATCTGTTTGTTTTAAATCAGATTTTTTTTTTCATCATTGTGAAACAAAAAAAACTGTGCCTTCAACTTTTTAAATGAAATTTACTAAATGTTTTGCACCACATTCTCTTTAGTTTCCTTCAGATTTCTTTGCTATGCATCACCACTCAGTGCAAGATGTTTAGGCCTGAATGCTGAAAATATGAGCATGATACTACCACTACCTTATTTCTCATTAGGATCACAGCCGCTATCACAATTTGGCTTTTTGCTCATCATTATCCAAGTTTTTTTTTTTTTTATGGTTTTTTTAAGCTGATAAAACTATATTTTAACACATTACATCAGTTTTTTTTCTGCTTGAAACATGTTGCTTAGATCAGATTCTTTACATAAACCCGGATGTTTCAGTCACTCCTGACTGTCAAAGCAAAAAAGATTAGCTCTGATTTAATCTTCCAAATTTAACTGTTGCCACTTACTGCTAATTTGGTAACATCCAGTTGCTACTAAGAGGTTTTCACATTTATACTTCTGATTATCACATTCCTCACCGATGTTTTTTTTGTCTTGCAGTGACGCCATAACATGCCTTTCCGAGAAACGTGTGGTCTTTGCCGGTGACTCGCGAATCAGGCAGCTATTTTACTCCTTTGTCAAAATTATCAAACCTGAGACGACAGAAGATGGAAACAAGGTATAGCTGCTAGACACGGCATGTTTCACGCTCAGGGGGCTATTAGAAATCTTTCCATTCCGGTTTAACAGGATATGTTCTACCCGAATCCCCCTCGGCAAATATATGTTGGTTGTTTAGCTCTGAATCCCTATAATTAGATCTCAGACTCTTCCTGAAAGATAAAAGGATTGTTTTCCCCATACCCTGTTGAGCCGTTACTGCTAGAAACTTAAAGCCTTCCCGCTTGCTTAAAAACGAGATTTCTATTATCTGTTTTGGCCTAAATGCTGATAAATTACTGTGCTTGTTCTATTTTCGGTAAGTGACTCAAACTCCAGATATGTGCAGCCGAGTGACAGACTAGTTTTATTCTGAGCTGAAGCAAGCTGGTGAGAGGGGAGCGAGAAAGGAGAAGTCATTTTCCAACAGACCCTCTCTTTGTCTGCTTGCATGTAACGCCTGCAGCATGAGGACATCTTCTTTCAAGATCAGAAGTCGTCTCTTAATGTGGTGAGCTTTCTATAGAGTCACTCTTATCTTTCCTGTTAAGAAGAACCTTTGATTTAAAAACAAAAAAACCCCTTCTTTTCTTGTTTTTATTTCTAGGACTTCCTTTGGTATCCAGAGGCAAATAACTCGATGAAGGACCGCGTGATGTCATGGACGCATGTGAGCATTGACACAGCATCAAGTTCTATTTTTAAGAACCAATTGAACAATTCTATGACGGATCCGTTTTCTATCCTCAAAGCAGATCACTTTTGTCTCCGTCTTGATAGCCTGGGGCAGTTTTCCCTTGATCCTCCTCACATGTCACACAACACCACGCTATGTCATATCTAACTGTAGATATTACTCAGTCTTTACGCCTGTATTCTCGTGTCATGAGCGCAGCAGGCAGGCCAAGGATGAAGTTGTTGAAACGTTTAAAACGGTGTAATGTTATGAAGCAGTATTGTGAGTTTCTCTTTTTGTTTGTTTTCTAAATGCTACAAAGACACGGCCGTTCTCCTGAACTGACAAGCCGGAAAACAAAGAAAAAGTCGGCAAGATGAGAGCATAATGAAACCGTTTGGCCAATGTCTAAAATCCTGCCTAGCAGTACTGCGTATCATCATGAAAAGCCAATCTACATGGTGAAACAAGGTGGAGACAGGGTTTACAGTGGAACATTTTTATTTTTTTATTGGTGCCCAGGAAGCTGGTTAGAATTGGTAAGAAGATGGATGGAGCTAAATATGTGGTGGAGGAAAATATATGACAAGAACAAACACTTGAGACTGTAAATTCAGTCAAACTCCAGGTCTAAAACAAACGCCTTTGGCAAGACGCGATAACTGTTTCTTGCAGTCATGCATCATTGCGTCTGAAATTGAGCAATTTTGCAACAAACGCTTGGCAAAAGTCTCTCTGTGGAGTTGGTAAATGTTTGCAGACATGATTGCAGCAACTGGTGGTTCTCCACATTGATTCAGTGGAGCAAAATGCAAATGCCTGAATGGCTTTTTGTCAAGGAAAAACGCCCAATAGAAACAATTCACATTTCCCTTCTTATGGTCGACTTAAAATGAAAACGAATTAGGTTGTCTTCCTCTCATGTAAATCTGTCAATATTCTTAACCTTTGTGTCGCAGGAGGCCGCTGCAAAACCTGATGTTGTTATCCTCGGAGCTGCAACAGTAAGCCGCCTAAAAGAATGCCTGTCAATATTTGCAGATCAAGTAGTCTGTCTTAATCTCACTTGTTTCGTCACTTATCACAGTGGTCCATCAAGTTGCACAGCGGCAGCAGCGAAACCCTGCAGCAGTACAGAGCAAACCTGACGGCAATTGCTGTGCATCTGGATAAACTGGCTGAGCATGCAGAGATCTACTGGGTCCTGCAAGGTGAGCTCCGCTCCAAGCAGATTACCCGCTTGGAAACATGATGATGATGATGATTAACTTTTACGTCAGTCAGCCTGGTCACTATTACTGCCTGATGGCTTCACTGCAGCAATAAATCCCATGCGCATTCTTGTAAAATGAGATTACTATCAGGGGGAGGAAACATCTGAACACTATTAATGTTTCTGTTTTGTCCTTCACTTTCTACATTGACTAAACACTATCATTTGAAATCACATAGATAGGAACATGAGAAATTAGACTTATCGGTATTGTTCCTGGAAATTGCTGTTGAATGTTTTTTTTTTTTTTTTGACAAACCAACAAACAATATGCACTGTATCAGTTGTGATTAAACGACAACTTCAATGCGTCATTTCCCATCCAAAATTTGAGTATTCCTGTAGCTATTCAAAAAGAGGAAGAAAGTAGTACGCACAACTCTAATGTAAAAACACGGTTCTTACTTTAGAGTGAAAACTTTAAAACTGAGAGCTGGTTATTCCTGTTTGAATTAATGTAACTCTCCCTAACTTTTATGTTCTCGGTCATAAAGTCCTATATCAGCCGAGAGTTCAACAGTGAACGTGTTTCCAAGTCCCTGAATTGGCCAGCAGAGTTTTGACGTGTTGCCAAGGGTGTGACTTTGTGTTGCAAGTTGGTGGGGATGCATTGTGGGCAAGAGGAGGCCATAGATGTACCCACAATTATGCGATTGGAAGGCCTTCTTTAAATGTGAATGCCATACACTCTTATTACAAAATTCACTAATATTTTCTGTAAAGAATGATCACAATGATATGGTTGCCTTTTATTACCTGATTTTCATCAAGTGCTCAAAAACGGAGAGAAGAGAGAACGGTTAGGGAGTAGAGTGACCATCGATATTACTGGATTGGACGTCGTCTATTAGCTGCTACAGCTAGTGACGTTTACCTGCGGGACGCCATTGCTATGCATTGAGTGATGTCCACAAAACCATACTGTTCCAGTGCAGGAGGAGCAGGTTCTGTGTCACAAAAAATGGTGGCAGCCCCAATATTTCTTATCCACTTGATCAGTTTTACAACAGAAAGTGGTCCGTAGTCAAACGTGTACCATGTGACGTACTGCCAACGCTGTTCTGTCTTGCAGATCCGGTGTACGAGGACACGTTGAGTGAGAACAGGAAGATGATCACCAACCAGCAGCTTGACCTGTACAATCAAGCGGCGACGGAGGTGCTCAACAGCAGCAAGTACAGCGGGAGGTCTCGGGTCAAGCTGCTGGCGGCGGCCCGACAGGCTGCCCTGGAAACGATCGTAAACTCAGACGATGGTTTACACCTGCCAGAGGGCACCAGGAATGTGGTAGGCAGGATTTTTTTTTGGTTTATTTTTAATGAGATTCTTTAGTATTTCTCCTGTTTTGATGTGTGAAATCATCCCTCCAGGGAGCCATGGTCCTCATGAACTCCCTTTGCAACAAGCTGCTGAGGCCCATTGACGGCTCCTGCTGCCAGACCATTTCCCCGCCAAACCTCATCCAGAAACTGTCAGCTTGCTTCTTCCTGGGCGCAGTCGTCGTCTTCGTGGTTCTCCACGCCCTCGGCTGCAACCGCCATCGCTGGCATGCCACTCCCGACGTGGAGAGTCTCGAGGAGAAGAAGCCCGCCACTGCTGCCGCCCCCCTCGGACCAAAGGCTCCTTTCCAGGCTCTCTGCAGGATGGGCGTCATAATGTTGTACTTCTACCTGTGCGACCGAGCTGATGTGTTCATGAAGGAGCAGAAGTTCTACACGCACTCGGCGTTCTTCATCCCGCTCATCTACATACTTGTGCTGGGAGTGTTTTACAGTGAGAATACCAAGGAGGTGAGGAGACGCTCTACTGCAAAGAAAACCACACATTTTTAAGTATTTCCAGTGCAAATATCTTAGTTTTATCTTATTTCAAGTGTACTAACAAGTAACTTTTCGGAGCTTGTCTTGAGTCAATAATTCCTTAATATTGATGGAGAAAATTATGTGCCACAAGACATATTAGCATATGTGGGGAAAATGTCCTGTTCCACACCCACTTTATTTCACTTATAACTAGTCCTTTATTCAATATTAATAAATTGACCAATTGTAAATTGGTCACATTCTGGAAAGTTGCTTGCAAGGGGGAAATCTAGCATAGAAAAATGTTTGTGCTTTCAGGCTTTAGAGTTTTTATGATTAAAAAAAAAAAAAAAAGTCACAAACCTATATGGGATGTTGACGAGCCAAAACAGCCTTTCAGACCTTTGTTGAAGGGGAGCATAGAGCAGCCACACAGTCGTGGTTTATTCATAAATTTACCAAAGACTGCTCCTATTTCAGTTCGATACTTTTGTGCTGATTACGAATCTCGTCAGTTGAAATGTAAACTTGCTCCGCAGCCATCTGCTGTTGCCCTCACCGGCTTAAGCAAAATGCACCCATTCAGGATTGTGATGATTCAGCACTTTTCATTCAGGTTTAGTGTCATATCTGACTGAAAGATATATATATATATTTTTTTCTCGTATAATCATCTTCTTTTCTTTGGATTACAGGCCAAGTTGCTCAACCGAGAGCAAACGGATGAATGGAAAGGCTGGATGCAGCTGGTTATTCTTATCTATCACGTTTCTGGAGCCAGCGCTGTGAGTCCCAGACGTGCTCCCTTTACACGCGTCGGCAGCTGTTCTGCTTTGAGTCTGATGCGGATGTTTAATAAACAACAAAATTGTTTGTCTCGTTTTGTAGTTTGTTCCTGTGTACATGCACGTCCGTGTATTGGTGGCAGCGTACCTGTTTCAGACTGGCTATGGACACTTTTCCTTTTTCTGGCTCAAAGGAGACTTTGGACTTTATAGAGTGTGTCAGGTGAAGTTACACTCAGTTATTCTTTAACCTTTTTTAGGAATCCCCAACGTGCTGTTCTGAACTTGAACGACGTATGTTTATGAGTGATTTTTTTTTTTGTTTTTTCTTTTATGTGTATGCTTACAGGTGTTGTTCCGGCTAAACTTCCTTGTGGTTGTACTTTGCATTGTAATGGACAGACCATACCAGTTCTACTACTTTGTCCCCTTGGTCACATTTTGGTTTGTTCTCATCTACGCCACAATGGCCATTTGGCCTCAGATCCTTCAAAAGAAGACTAACAGTAGGTGTCAAATATGAGATTATTATTAGTTTCAGCACCAACTTTCTATACCTTTCTTATAATTTTTTTAAAAATGACATGTTTTCAGTGAAAAGTTTACATACGCCCGTAATCGGCATGACTGTTATTCATTTTGGGATTTTAACGTAGGGTTTGGACCGTTTCTCAACTTCAGTTTGTTTCAAACACAGAACTGCGTGAGCACGTTTGAAATGACTTTCTTTGGACCTAAAAGTAATGACATTCTTGCCCAACACGAGTGCATGTAAACATTTCACCAAAACTGTATTTGCATTTGGTAAACGGTAAAAATATTCTATTGTGTGTAGTTTTAGAGATGAGGAGTGTCTTTTTAAAGAAATCATGTTGTCTGGACAGGTAGTGGCATCTGGTATTTTGGCATCCTGGCCAAGTTACTGGGCCTGTTGCTGATTATCTGCTTCTTTGCCTTCTCAAAGGTGGGTTCGTTTCCTCAGCTCTACAATTAGTTGTATTTTATAGTTACAAATTGGTACAAATCTTCTGTACTTTTGGCATGATGTGCAGCACTTTTAGTTTGATCTTCATCTCAAATCTCGCCTGCAGAGTCTTTTCATGAGCGTGTTCTCAGTGTGGCCCGTCTCTAAGCTGTTTGAGCTGAACGGAAGCGTCCACGAGTGGTGGTTCAGATGGCAGCTGGACCGATTTGTAAGTCAAATGTGGCGACCAGCATACCTTTCAACCAGTTTCAGTTTACTGTAAACCGAGACGGCTTCGACTTGTTGGCACACAGGCTGTGATTCACGGCATGGTGTTTGCCTTCATCTACCTGGTGCTGCAGAAGCGTCAGGTGTTGTCGGAGGGCAAAGGAGAAGCTCTTTTCCCTGCAAAGATTTCCAACTTGCTCCTTTTCTCCTCGGTGGTTTCCTTCATAGTAAGACCTCTTTACGTTTTGTTTCTCAGTCAACCTATGTTGCAGAAATGCGCCTAACCTCTCTTTCTCGTTTTCAAGACCTACTCAATATGGGCGAGCAGCTGCAAAACCAAGACGGAGTGCAACGAGATGCACCCTTACATCTCTGTGGTGCAGGTACAGTTTTGCATTGTTACATTTGCAATTTTCTTAAGTTACTTGTTGCAGATGCATCAACTCAACATGGCAACCTTGTTCCCTATGAGAAAAAAAACTTCATAAACTGATGTTAGAAGCATCAGATTAACTACTGCAGTGTGATTAATGCATCTGTGTACACAGGGTTAAAGTGCTGTGAAGGGCGTCAACCTTCAGTACAGCTGAACTACTATGTGACTTGGCAGGAGTTGTCTTGCTAACTGCTATAAACTCATTTAGCATTCCCTGTTCAGTCGAACCACGGCGAACCTGCTCACATACTTGCCAGTAGCTTTGTGTTTCCTTTCAAAATACAAAATGACAAGATAGTTTCAGTTGTACAGGGAGTTGTCCGCTTTTCAAGATAAGAGTTACCTAAAACAAATGTAGACATAGTTCTACAAATTGCTACCAGCTGGTTCTCATTCCTTTCTAAATTGATTTCAGGTCTTCACACAATATGGGCGTGACTGTAATAACTTTGTAATGCGATAACTTATGTTTGAACATAATTATTTCAGGAGAGAGTGATCAAATTTATTTTGAAAGCTATGAATTTGATGCTGAAGTTTGCTCTAAAACAGACTGGAATATGGAGTCAATCTGGCACATTGGAAAGGCCACCCTGGAAACCTGATGTTTGCCTAATGCTAAGCTAGCTATGTAGCAGCTACACAGACCCTTAACATAATGTCACCACCACCGTGCTTGGTGCTGTAGAGGTCAGATGTAAAAGCCTCACCTTGAGTCCTTCCAAACTCTTCTCGTCAATTCTGTAATACCAGTTGGTTCAGTTCTCGTCCTGCCTGGACATAAATGTTTCCTCCAGGAACCTGGGCTTCTCCGTGTGGGCAGCTGCACATTTCAATCGAGCTGTTTTGGAGCAAGGGTTTTATTTTTTTTTTTTTTGGTCAAGATCCTCTTAATCCACGATAAATGACACCATTTTTCACTTTGAAACAGCTTGTACACCGGCGCTACAGATCAATGTCATGGCACCTTTGAGCCTTGGTAGTCTTTTCTCCATACCAAGCTGATTATTTTTGAAGTTTCCTTTTTAGAACCCTCAATGATTTCTTTGAACTTTCTTCTATCAATCAGATCATTTCTTGCTGGCAAGGAGAAATTACCAGAAGCCAAACAATCTTAATCATTCAGAAGTTACCCTGCCTTGAACATATCGACTTAAGATGGTTGTTTTGATTTTGCACCAAGTCACTGCCAGGCCACCACCAGTAGGAGAATTTTAAAAAAAAGTATTTAAATGTTGACTTAATACAGTTGAAATAACGAGTGTAATAAATTACATTTATGCCCACGCAGAATGTTTGTACTCTACGTAATACCTACTTCCAGAACTTGAAGTTTCATAAATAACACACCGGTGTTTTCCTGGCTTGACTTGGAGACGTTTCCATTTTGTGTGTTAACAGATTTTGGCCTTCATTCTTATCAGGAACATTCCTGGCTACGCTCGCTCTGTTTACAGCTCGTTCTTTTCATGGTTCGGAAAGATTTCCCTGGAGGTAAGATGGTCCTGTCTGCACAGGCAGGTACATGTAATAATTCAGAATCGCATAATTCATTGTAAATGGCGAGTTAAAACAGTAAGTGATGGCAATCTTCAGGTGAGCCTCAATTCAAAGATGTAAATAACTGTAGTAGTTTAAATATGTGTATCTTGTATAGACTTATAAGGCACAGTGATATATTTCGAATATTTTTTAATTTTATTTGGTTTATAACTAATGCAGACTCCAAGTTTCCGATTGTCATATTAAAGAGAAAATTAATAACATCCAGTGTTTATTTCTTATATTCATACATAAGAATAGAAAGTGGTTTACATTAGTTGAAAGGAGTAGATAACATGACCAGTATATTCAATTTCCTGATTTAAAATTATTTTTATTTTACTTTCTAAAAAATATATATTTTGGGTTTTCATTAGTAATGTCATAGCTGAATAACAAAACTGAAAGTTCCACCTGTTGAATTTAAAATGTTCAATACCATTCACTACCTGACACTTCCTTTGTCAATTTGGTAAAAATAAATAAATACAAATCTTAACTAACTGAGTTGGACTTAAAGGTCTGCACTGGTTATGAACATGTTGTAACTGGACCTGGAAATATGTGCTTTGACTTTGTCGCCGCCAGCTGTTCATTTGTCAGTACCACATCTGGCTTGCGGCAGACACCAAGGGAATCCTGGTCCTGATCCCGGGCAACCCTTCACTCAACATCTTGGTGAGCACCTTCATCTTCGTTTGTGTAGCTCACGAGGTCTCCGTCATCACCAACGACCTGGCTCAGGTGGTGATCCCCAAAGACAACATGGCCCTGCTGAAGAGACTGGGGGCCATGGGGTTCGTGAGTTTACTTGTACTGATGTCCCAGCTCCTCACACCTGGAACTTAAAAAGATACTTTGAGAGGACTGGGTTACGGACTGGGGGGCCTGCTATGACTGAAGTGACAGATGAAAATCAAACTTTCTTTTTTTCTTTGACGCTACTGGTGGCCAGATGAGACTGGTCAGAGTACTTCAGTAACGTTGTTATTGGCTGCTGTACAATGAGAAAGCTTGGCAAGAGGAATATTTAAAAGGACAGAAACACTGAAATGTTTACATTGCCTTCACGTTAAGACTTGGAGACCCAAAACCACTTTCTCTGGGCTCAGGACCTCATGCTTGCTGTGAACCTCGCAGCACTTCTTCTGCTTTAGCCAAACTTGTTTGATATGAAGTTTGTTCCTCGTTTCCTCCGAGGATCTCTCCGTCCACATGGCAGTAGGACCACCAGCATATATGGAACGTTTTTTCTTTCTCTTTTTTTTTTTTTTCCAAATAAGCTGATCTGCACAACATCTTGTCATTGAGCTTCTATATTGCTGGTGTGAGATATTTACACAAGGAAAAAAGTGGATCAATGTGGACTGATCACAAACCTGCCGAGTGTATAGTCAAAAAATTTGCAGTGCAATTGTTAAAAATTTTTTTTCCCTCTCATTTAAAGCAACGTTTGAGATTATTGCGTTTGCAGAAAGTCGCTGTTGTCACCTGCTGTAGCTCAGAAATGACATGTGGCATGTACAGTATTTAATGACTTAAATTAAGCTTATATTTTATACAGTTTTGGCTTTGTTTTGTACTTTGCGTCCATAACTGCTGTTTGTGAAGTATTGCATTAAGAATTTTGTACCCAATCTACTATCTCATAGACAAGGTTGAGCCTTTCAGTCGAATGGTTGTGTCCTGTTAGCGCCACATGCTGTGTAAATATATATATGTATATTTGTATGATACAACAGATTTATTTTGTACAGCTGTTCATCTCCTGTTCTTTAAAACATGCCTCATACTAGATGTGGTGGAAAATGCACAATATTGCACATATTGTTCTACCATAGAAGAAACAAACGTCCTTCCTCAGACCGACCTAAAAAACCAAACAAAAAAACCAGGTGTTTTTGTTTGTTTTTTCCTTAATGATTAGGTGAAGGCTTTTTGATATTTTTTTTCTCTTTTTTAACTCTAGAGGGTTCTGTAAACGGCACATGTTCAAGTGTGTTGTTTGAAGCACTTGAAATCAGGGCCACTTCAGCATTATAACCACTTTGTAATGCACTGACAGACGACCTAAGAGGATACGTTAATGCCGCATACATGGAAATATTGTTTAATATGTCTGTTGCCAAGTGGGTAATTGGTCCTTTGCCTGTTTCTACTCATTTGAGAGGGAGCACTTTTATTTTGAACCTGCTTTTTATTTTCCACTTTCATCTTTAAGATGAAACCCAGATTTTAGTACATTTTTGTTTGGCATATTTATTTTGAATTTTTTATTTTTGCTTAAAGAAAACAGTTATATTAAACTTGCCGTTTTAATTGCATCTACCGTTGGGTAGTAAAACAGGAAATTGCGTGTCAATCATTTTGGATTTATGTTTGTTTTTTCCCAGGAAAGTGAGGACACATTTTTGTTTTTGTTACAATCTGCAGCTTTTGAGGCTTTTCACACTAAAAGTGAAACGGAGCCAAATTTGACCTCAAAATTTCTACTAACACTCAGAACCTCGGATAATTATCGATAATATGGTATTTACCTCCCACCGTTTTCCTTTGATACATGTATAAAGTTTACTGACCTCTTTTATTGATCAACAGCAAAGTGGTACATTTGGCAGTTGTTTCATGCCTTAATTGATCTGTGTGATCACGTAAAAGCAACAAATATTACACCCTTTTTTAGGGCTTAGTCAAATATTTACATGTTTGTTTGTGGTGTCTGACAAAGTGTGGAATTCTCTTCATATTTATAAATGCCTTTATTCTGTTGTACATCGTTTAAAAAAAAATCCCTTGATTAAAAAAAAAAATACAATGTTTTGGGGCTTTTTTTCTGAACATGTGTATTGGTCAAAACCATTAAATATTTTATAAAGAATTTATTACCAATTTATACATTACATAAAACTGACACATTACAAACTCCCTTTTCTCTGAGGTCCATATGTTTAACATATACACATCTTGTAGATCTGCTACTCCTCCGTTACAGATTCTCACCAAGCAGGAATGACGTGACTGAAACCGTCCATGTGAGACATGCAGGTCGACACCGGGAATGCAAAATGGTTCAAATATTGTGTGCGATGTTATCACAATGCCCACGTGTCATGAATTAACACTGTGCATGCCAGAAATCCACTCATCTGTTGGATGGAGTGTCGCTGAAGTAGACGTCGACACCTGACCCAGAGGGTCAAGCCTAAGATGCTAAAGGTTACACAGCTGGAAGCATCATAATGAGTGGAAAAAGATGCATTAATCGCCACTGACATCATCGTTGCAGTATTCGACAATAATACGGCAGATGCATGATTTGTTAATATTATGCAGCACTAGTTTGGCACAAATGTTAGAAAACACACACACAAAAAAAAACCCAGACAGATGGAAGGCAGATCCTACGCTGGAGCTTCTGGTCATAGGTTAAGGGCTTCAGCCACCTTCCTTTCCTCAGGGATACCATTTACCTGGGATAGATGGCAGAAAAATGTTGTTACATCCTGCTGCGCTCTGAAGAGATCAGTGAGATTATGTATGGGTGGGTTATCACAGTATGGCCAAGGTTTAAAAAGTTTTCAAAAATGCTAAAATTCACATTTCTGTCATTTTAAATCCTTTCAGTGAGATGTCAAAAGAAGTATCAGTTTTCTCCGAATTAAAGCGTACTGTTCCACTTCTCTAAAGAGAACAGCTTGATTCTGCACTATAGGTAAACTACCTATGACTGTAAAATTTGGTACATTTTGTGCAAACGGCATGACATTTTCATACTGGCCCATAACTTGGTCAAAAAAACAACTGTACAATCCAAGAAAAACTATTAAAACACATTAATCATCTCAACATAACTGCACCTACCTCCAGTCTTCGAAATGTTGACATGACATAATTATCTCCTTTGTTAGCAGTGAAGACAGAGAGTAGTTAGTTAGTGCATCATGCAGTTGATTGTCATGCTCACTAGAGGACGCTCACACACCATCATCACAGTGACAAACTGAGGATTCTTCTCCAAAATGTGTTTTTGTTTCTTAGTTTAGGAAATGTTCTAAGTACATCCACTGACCCAGACGTATCTAAGAAGCAGATATATGAAGTGGCTTTTATTTGCTGTTAAAAGAGAAACACTGTGTGTGAAAGATTACATTTGAATGCTTAGACTAGAATTCAGATAATTTTTTTTTACCGTTTCAGTTTTTCCTCATTTTATTTGTAGCTACTTCTTACACCTTAAACATTTGATGTCTTATGATGTATATATTCAAAAAGTGCCACTTTTGCTAGAGATGTTTGGTAAAACTCTCAATTTAGGACATTAGCTATTTGTAAAGTTTCTGGTAGAGGGTTGTCACTTTTGTTACATTTTCAAATGAGGTTGAAGAGTTCAGACATGGTGAGACTAGGGAAGCTCAAACAGTACGACAAACATGCAGTTGCATGAAGAATCAGCCATGTGTAGTTTGCTATTATGTCTGAGTAACAGACCGTGTATTTTATCACACCTATGAGCGTACTAACCTGATGGCCTCTGCTGTGGTATTGTTATCTGATTCTGCAGATTCCTGAGGACAAAAACAGACAACTGGGTAAATCATGCTACTTTTTCCGGTCATGCTTTTTCTTTTTTTTTTTACTTCATACTATTATTGTCTACGAAATGCATCATAGCCTTTTCACTTTTTGTCAGATTATAAAGACAAATTTAATTAGCGCCTGATTATGAATTGGAAAGAAAAGCACTTTGTGCTTAACAATCGCATAGCGTGTGAAAACGTGATACTTTAGTTAACTTGACGTTATGTGTGGTCGCTGAACAAGCGCATCCCTTCACTCACGCCTGTGTCTGCATGAGGGGCATGCTGGTGGTCTCGTAGTTGTCGGGGTGGATGGGGGGCACCACCTCCCCGCTGACCGGGTTGAAGACGGGCAGGGTGGACAGAGGCCAGGAGATCTCACGGTTCTTGGACATGCCCCGCAGCTCCTTGGTGGACTTCTGGATGGCGCTGTGGTGAACCAGCTGGATGCTGGAGAACAGAGAGGCGGTGAATATTTGTTGCAGCGCGTTACTTTATGTATGCCATGGTGAACGTTTTCTCATCCTGCACTTCGTTTGTGTTCATGCACAAAATAAAACAGAACTCCCACCCTAATCTGGAGAATGCAGAGGAGGATTTTTATTTTGTTCAACAAAATTACTCATGTTGAGTCATCGAGGTCTTATTGGCCCTAACTCCCTGCAGCGGGTCATTAATTTTCAGCAGCCCATTAAATGAATGGATGGCAACACACAGATGAGCATATGAATGGAAACGAACAGCCATCAGTGACAACAGAAATAACAAAACTGCAAACTAAAGAGAGGGAACAGAAACAGCCCAAAAACGGAAAAAATAAATAAAATAAAAAAACACAGGAGAGGTAAAACACTTACGCTGGTGTTTGCATGTTTCTTTTTTCCCTAGGAACAAAACAAAATGGATGAATTAAATACTAATATTAATAGTTGAAGCAACATCTAGACACAAGTGAATGAAGAGTTTGCATTAAGTCAGAGTGAAGGTGGAGATGGAGTGGAACACTGAGTGAACAAAGGGGGCGCTTCTCTTCCAGCCTGTAAATGTTGAAACAACACGAATAAAATGACCTTTAATGGATTGAGAAGCAACACCACCAACAACAATAACCAAAAAAATAAATAAATAAATAAAAAATCACAAAATAATGAGAAACTTAATATAAATGGATCACAATACCAGATGGTAATGACAAGCTGCAGCTTTCAGTCAAGATTTGATTGTTGTCTAATCAACCTGCCCCTGTCTGGACCTTTCATTCCCATTTCTCATTTGACTCTGGGATCTTTTTCAGAAACCCGACTGCGACTTTTTGTCGAACGCCTTTGGAGCGGTATTGGTGCAAAAAAAAAATAAAAAATGCAAGGCCGTGCACACTTACACCCCCTCCCGTCTGCAGCACATAGTGTAGCCGAGGATGAAGAAGAGGACGAGGGCCACGGCGGACGGAATGGCCAGCGTCACCAGGAAGTCGGAGAAGTAGTCGGGGCTCTTCAGAGACTCCGACGGGGGGTTGTACTCCCCGAACTCGGGCAGGATTCCCGTGCCCGGATCTGGGCGGGAAACGTACACGGGGACCACTTTGTTGATATCGACCTAGAAACAGAAACTCAGCGCTAAGTTTTAGTTGATACAGTGTGGCTGATGTGATGAGTTACTAGCGGTTTCCACAGATACTGGAATGTCTGATTATATATATTTTTTTCTGCTATTCAAACAGCATTTCTGAAGAATCTAACTTTTTAATTTGAGTGTATATATTCAGTGGGTAAAAAAATAAATAAATAAACACGACAAAAAAAAAAACAAAAAACAAAAAACAGTCCTCACATCTCTGGTAACACCAAGGATGTGACAGGTGCCAAAACACTGCAAAAACACAAAATCCTGCCAAGTATTTTTGATCTTATTATATTTCAAACAACAATAAAACAAACTTACAAGTAACTTTTCAGTTTCAGCAAGAAATAAGAGCTTGTTGTAAGTCATTAATTCCTTAATATTGATGAAAAAGCACCAGTTTACTTATAACAGGGGAAAGTGCTTTGTTCCATTTATAACTAGTACTTTTTTTTTTTATCAATATTAAGTAATCACTGACTTAAAACATCAAGTCCTACATCCTGCTGAAAAAATGCTTGCAAGTCTGTTTTGTCTTATTCCAAGTGTAATAAGGTATTTGCACTAGAAACTAAACCAAAAATATTTAGTAGGATTTTGTGTTTCTGCAGCGCGTCATGGTTTTGTTAGGCAGCATCATGGCAGATTAACGCCGGTTTGTCCTCACCAGGGAGATCTTACACCAGTCGATGTGAAACTGAGCTCTGAATTTCTTGTCACAGCTGATGTCAGGCTCCATCTCCTGACTGCAGCGCAGCTGGTTACGTGGGTTCTCCACCTCCCGGAGGCACGACGAGAAGGGAACGTCAGCGCCGACCATCACATACACGCTGAAGAGGAGAGACGAAGGGAGAAGGGAGGGAAAAGAGAAGACGAGACTCGGTTTCTATGTTTATAAGGAGGCTTGCAATAAAGCGTTCCTGCTCCTCTGAGTTTTCTCCTACATGCTTTCATCTTCCGACACATTAGCATCAATCTTTGATGTACAGCTCACAGCGGGTCATGTGGGCTTCCCGCCCAACTTAACAAGCTGAGTGTCTTGACGGTGCAGATGGTGAGGTGTTTTTATCTGATTCGCAGGGAACCGAGGGATCCTCAAAGCCCCAATTAAATAAAATGTCAAAGAGGAGAGAGTGGGCTGAGAAATTTGTTGGTTTAGACAGGATAAGAGGCTGCTGGGGGAAAAGTTGCTTCTGAAGAACTAAACCTCGTAGACGTCGGAGTGCGTCTCAAAGTTAATGACGCAAATCCACGTCCAGATCCTCACCCTTCTTTTAGGTTGTTAATGGGCAGGGGCACCCGGCCGCCACGGTCCAGCGCCGACGTGATGTTGATGGCGTTGAGCCGCTCGGGCTGCCACACGTTCTTCACGGCACCCAGGAAGTCTCCCAGCACCTCGCTGGCCAGCATCTCCTCTACGTTCATGTTTTTGATGTAAAACTCGGCCTGGTAGGGCAGCGGGAACTCTGCACACAAACACGGGGAGGGAGGAGGCAAGCAAGAAGCGATGCAGATTTACCCTGGAGATCCTGGTGTGTTTTCAGGTTTTAGACTCCTTCTGGCGCCAGATGGCAGATGACATCACGCTGCACAAAGAGTGATGTCACGCCGAGGCAGCAAACAGCTGCTGAATTTAACCCCCTTCATCGGTTCACGATTTAATGCGTGCGTCGCGGCTGGTCGACAAGCCGGGAAACACACAGATGTGCTGTTTAATTGCGGAGACACAGAGGAGCATCTGCTGCCTTCCACTGGATAGATGTGGACCACCGCACTTCGCATGAAACCGAACGTCATTATTCCTTTTGCATAACAAGCTGCATGGTAAGAAGCAAATAGCATCACTTTTGTAGATCATTTTGGATCGAAAACTATTCGGTTAAAAAAAATAATCTAAGCAAATAATCTGAATGTCCTATTAAAATTATTACTAAAATAATAATAATAGTAAAAAAAAAAAAAATGGGACAACCATCATTGCAAGAAGTTATAGCATCATTTCAGGCAAATTAGAAGATCCAGCAGAGCAGAAAAATATGTTGTGTTAACCGCATAAGTAAAACAAGTTTCTGGACAATAAGCAACAACAGTCCCAGAAATGTAACTGTCAGACCAACAGAGCGGAAACAATTAATCGTGATTGATCGATTGAAATAATCGTCAACCAGTAATTACTTAATCCGTTAGCTGGAATATACAGACTCTAAAAACAGACATTTGTTGAAGGAACAACCTCAGAAAAATCATTAAGCCAAAACTGTCCAAAAATATATATATACATTTTGCATCTAAGATTAAAAAAAAAACAACCTTCTTTGTCTGTAAATATGTTCTACACAGAACTCCTTGAGTGGCATAGATTTAGCTTTATATGGTTCAAATCCTGGAAAAAAAAGGGGAAAAAAATCCTCTCAGAAGAGCCTTTTATTCTCCAGTTATTAAAACAAAAAGTAAAATAAGATTCCTATTCTTTCTTTCATCTGTAGGCAATAAAAAATATTCATTTTCTTTTTCATCCTGCTTTAGAATACCAAATGAGCCACTAATTAGCAAAACATTAAAGTCTCATCTCTACTAGCTCTAGCCGTTCATAGTGGCGCCTCTTACCTTCTGTGGCCATGACGTTAATGACCAAGTTGTGCCGTGCCGTCTCAAACGTGCGTCTGTTGTAGGCGGTAATCTGCAACACAGAGGGGTGAAAGTTTAAGCCCAGATCAGTGTCGTTTTAGACGGCTGGAGCCATCCCAGGAAGGAGCTGAGCTCGATGCAGGATGTAAGGCGCCGTACAGAGGCGTACAGTGAGCCGTGAGCTCGACACGGTGAGCCTTTTTGGGAATGGAAATTCGACGTTAGCTCACAGGCCGACAGATCAGAAAACGCGTAAAAGAATTCAGGTCGGGAAACGGCACACGTAATATCAGAGGAACTCTGAGTCACTCGCCTCTATCACGGTCGGCTTGCCAACGTGCTCCGCGGTGGGGGAACCGTAGAGCACGCCGTCGCCGTGAGGAGTCCTCTGGATGTAGCGCAGCCAGCCGGGTCTGTCGGGGAAGCCCTTCAGGTTGGTGTTGAAGGTGATCGGATCATTGCTGGCATCACCTGGGGAGACGTCTGTTTAATAATGACTGCTGCTGCTGGGGTTTGCTTTGGGTCAGAGCCAATTCCATAATCAGCATTTTAGACCGATCAGATGAAGAAGCAGACACGTGGCTGAAGCCAGCAGAGTGTCCCTCTCTAGTGAAACTGGACTCACAAATAAAAAAACCCAAACATTTTAGCTGTAATCAGCTGATGTATCAATTAGAATATAAAAAAGAAATAAAAACAATACTCGTGATTCTCTTTTCCACCCCATCTGTCATTAGCGGCTGTTGGAATCACGTTTGTTTGAGCAAGTAGTCGCTACGAAACAAGGTTTCGCTAATATGTTAAAGCAACCACAAAATAATGAGCTCATATTTTTTTAGCTTTGGCATCTTATATTAATGATGCAGATAAAATGACGAACCTTGAGTCTTCTTCGCTTAGTAACAGCATCTACATCAAAGAGTGTTGCTGAGCTTAGCATGATGTGTTCACTGATCGGGAAAAGGTCCGGAATTTGGGTTCAATTCCCAACCTCAGGTCCTTTTGCATCATATTTCCCCCTCTTCTTTTCTCTACCAGTGTGCTGTCTGATAACTGTGTTCACAACCGATCAAGATAAAAATCAACAGATTCTCATCGCTGGCTGATATTTTTGGTGCATCTCTAGGTTGGACAAACCGCGAATGTTTGCGTTGTACCTGATTTGGGGTACGGCGGAAACTCTCCTTTAAAGTGCTCTCTCTCTAGCACGTGGACAAACAACACCCCAGCTGATGGGTAGACGTTACGGTCTGCGTGGGATCTTGACAAGATGGTGACGACTGAAAAACACATTTCAGAGAACATGGAGCTTAGTTCCTCTTAGCTGAGCATCTTGTTAACACCCCTTCTCTGCGTGCATACTAGGGAATTTATAGAAAAGGGAAGTAAGTGAAGAAAACTACTAAAGAGCAGCAATAAGAAGCCATCCAGAGAGCACTGGATCATTTTATGCTTTCAGATCAGACCCACAAAACTATAAAAAAAAAAAAACAACAACTTATTAGTAAACACATTAAAGAAGGTATTACATTTGAAGGATTTCTGAGTGTGCCAATTGTTGTTTTTCTGCTCAGCAGTCTTTCTTTCGGATCAACCTTTAACCTTTTGCCGCATGATTTTCATAATCTCACTTTTTTTTCTTCTTCTCCTCTGTACCACAGCAAGTGGAAACTCAATTTTTAATCACCATGGGAGACTGAGTGTAACGCTAAGGAGAGGAGGAGGATGAGGAAGGAGGTGGGGGACTAGAAAAATGTGCTGTAAAGTGAAAGCATAGGGGCCAGAAAGCAGATTTGAGCTGCTCTGGCTTCCAGACAAATTCAAGATGCACTGCACAGCTGGAAAAAAATAAAAATAAAGCTCAGAAAGCTCTGTATTCATTCCCACTGGCGAAATGCTGCATATTTAATTTTTTTAAGGCTTTTATTTATTTGTAGATTCAAGACCACAACTTGCTACACACTGCAAAATGCAACAGTCATTGTTCTGCCTTTGAACCGAGATGCTGCTTTTTGAATGGGGATTTATTTTCACACAAAAAAAAAAAAAACAGGGTAACCTTTATGATACGCTTAACAAGGATCATAATGCTAACGATGTTAAAGTCTTTACACAAATGTATGTCTTATTGCAACAGCATCATCTCACAATGAGAAATGTTGCTCATTTTTAATTGACTTATTTTCTTCAGCTCACACTTTTAGCTTTGGGGACTGAAGGTGGTGATGAAGAAGGCTGATTCGGTGAATCATTTCCCTTTTGAGTCAACCATGTTTTGGGGGTTTTTTTTGGTCAACATTCTGCTGAAGCAGCCAGACATGACATGTTCTCAGTTTCCTGGCAGAAGATATTAAATATTATATTAAATTTGTTTTTTGTTTTTTTTTCAAACTGTTCATAATCCCCCTACACTCCCACAGAGGCTGGAAGTCAAATAAGACCCACAGCATCATCTGTGTGAATTGTTACAGAATTACTCCCGAGTAATTCATCCACCCATCCATCAATTTTCTTTACACCCTTGTCCCTAGTGGGGTCGGGGGGGCGGAGGGTTGCTGGTGCCTATCTCCAGCTACCGTTCCGGGCGAGAGGCGGGGTACACCCTGGACAGGTCGCCAGTCTGTCGCAGCCGAGTAATTCAGGCACTGCTAATTTGTAAAAGCAATTATTTGTTGACGTGTGATTTATTCCCCCCCTCAATTAGTAAATGTACTCAACTTTTTTTAAATTCCATTTTTAAAAGCATTTTATCAAAATTAATTGTTACCAAGTATCCCACTGACTTAGAAGGCCGTTGTCCATTTTTATCTGTCTCTATGAAAACCACAGTCAGAATGAAAATAGTACTGAGCCCAAAAACATAAAAAAAAAAAAAAACATTGACGAATGGGACATTTGCAATTCAAAACCACGGCAACACAGATGCTGACCCAGCCGTATGTCTGGCGTCCCGAGGGGACGCAGTCACAGTTTGATACAATCAATAGCGTTTAGCGGCCGCTAGATCTAAACCTGAGGTTCTGTCCACCACATCTCTTTTGATGCAATCACCTGAGCATGACTAATCCACACAATGGCTCATCTGGCTCCAGCTCCTGCGCCCACACCAGCAGGATCTGGGTTAGCTGAAGACCAAAAATAAAACCTCATTTAATTTCATCAGACCGGTTCCTAAGTAAGAATCCAGTCTGAATGGGCGCGGCTTATTTCTATTACCTGAGCACGTGGGCCACAGCAACTCTCCCAACATACAAAGAGCCTCTTTGCGACACTCCAAGGTTAAAATACTGGCTGTGCTCCTGGAGGCTGGACGGATGTGGTGCAAACATTTGTTTAAGACGGAGAACATGAGAGAAAATGTAACAAACCCCAGATCACCTCTGAATAGGATTAAAAGATAACCAAACATAAATCTTTCACTACACAGGAACGACTAAGGAGAAAATACACTCCTACCAAACCGATGGTAATGAGTCGAACGTATTGTCTCCTTTGGATTGTGTTTCACCTCCTTTCTAAGCCAGCATAAATAAAGATCGGTGATTTTAGCCTCACAGGGGATCTGCTTATAGCGCTCAATCTGTTTATTTGTGGCCGGGGCGAGCCTGCCAAGCGTTCTCGAGATGATGAATCTCGGCGCGTCATCCAGGTGTATAATACATCACCGATTAAAGGTTAATGCTAAACTGTACACTGAAATCTGTAGCAGCTGGCTTCAATTCTGGGAAAAAAAAAGGAAAAAAATGATAGAAAGAACAAGTTGGACATTACTCTTTTAATACGGCACAGATTCCAAAAAAAACTCTGTCTCCAAAATAATAATGAAAAATGTTCAAAAAATTTTAACAGAAGGTAAAAAAAAAAAAGAAAAAGGCGTATTTGGCAGTAATATAACCTGGTAGATCACTTACAGACCTCGAGAGTGGTGGGAATAGGTAACCAGATTTAATGCATTTCTAAGCCAACCTTGCATCATAGGATGCCTCTCAGGAACTCTGAGCTTCCATAAGGGTTTTGGCCAGCTGAGCTCTCTAACTAGTTGAGGCAGAGCCAAGGAAAAGCGCGTCCGTCCTTCTGTCCTGCTGAAATGAGCCTCGTATGCACGCGTCTTCCAGATCAGGAGGAGTTCATGTGCTTCTTTGGCGCTTGACGAAAAAGCAGAACCAACAAGGATTGCCACTGTTTGCGACTGACGCCCTGGCATGCCCCCGCTGATGATGAGTTTGAATTTGTTATTCTGAAGTCGCACATGGAAGTGAAACTTGCCGCTTTCGCAACAAGCAGAAGGACACGGCTGTGGACAACAGTGGACACGAAGCAAAAAAGACCAGTCCTCTAGAACGCTAAAAACAAACAAACAAAAAAAAGGTAAAAACAACTTTTCTAAAATTATTCATTTTAGATTATTTAAAGCAGCGAGTAAATGTAGGTGTAAATATTTTTAATCACAATTAGAATGAAATTTCTAGCAAGGACGACATTTAAAAAGAGCAAAGGTTGTGTGTAAGAAGAAGCAGGAAGGTAAAAAAAAAAAAAAGTAAAAAGAAAAAGCAACGATGCTGCTATTAAAGGGGAGCCAGCTCAACTTGTCACTGTGTTATGACAGGGGGGGATGAGACAGCGGGTCAAGCGAAGTGCACCACCGCACAAACCCACTCACCGTCTTTGTACAAGGTTCGTCTTTGCAGCAAAGCCACGGCCTGCTCCGAATGGACATGTCCCTCATGAAACTCTCTGAGTGTCACTTCTTGGGCATGCACAATGTAAACTACTGGATCGATAAAATAGAAGCACGCATAAAACAAAGGGGGCTTTTCTCAGCAGATTCTGGAATAATGTTCCTCCCGCCTGCACATAACAGCTTGTAAGAAACAAGAAGAAAAAAAAGACAGTTTCACAAGAAATCCTAAATTTAGTGTTTTGTTATTGTTTCCCCTGCTCAAGTTTAGAATGTGCCCGGCTTAGCTACGGATACATTTACATTTTTCTGTACTTAAAATGTAAATCAAGCACAAAATGAAAAAGTCGCTCCATAAAAGCAGCGTAAAGCTGCTAAATCGCTGCAATTTGCATCTGAACACTGTTTTCATGGAGAACAATGGTTTTTATTGCCACAGCACTATAATAAGTCAGCACAGACACAGCCAATGTTTACAATCTGTGGCTTAGACTCTCGCAAAAAGCAATCATCTTTTAACAAGACCTTCTGCTTGACAGCCTTTACATTACATTTTCCTTTATGTTTTAGCCACTCTAGTTTTGATCTGAGATTTTGCTTCTTTTGCGAGAATTGGGGAACTTTTTATGAATTGAATTTCTATATTACATGACTGGATGGGGTAAATAGGGAACAGACTCTCACCAGGCTAACTTCTATTAGCAGTACAAGTTAATAACAATGGATTTACCTGCATTTTCTACTTAGAACTGTAACATATACTCACTAAAAATGTGTGCAAAAGACCTAATGGAGCACAGACAATCAGTAAAAAAAACAAACAGTTTTTTATGCTGCTTTCATTAAGCACCCATATTGAATTTGAGGTCAAAGGTGGTGGGAAACCACTCATTTTCCCATTCAAAATTGCACGTTTTAGCGTCTTTATATGCATTTTGCAACTTTGAACAAGATACTTTCACCTCCTGAACACACATTTAAACCATATGGCTCATCTAATCAGTGCCAGTCAACATATATGTTTACATGTTTCTTTATTCTGCCTATTTCTTTTTTTCTGTCAAAATGGTAGCACTGGAAAATCTCTGTATTCATCTAAGCAGTACTAGTATAAAAAGTACAAGTGCTCATGACTAATTTTAAGCCAGGTGCATCAGAAAATGCTGGTTTTAATTTAATTTCAGCATAAGACGTCAACTTCGTATATGGATTCAATATGCACATGGTATTGTATTGGTTTTATATTGCCTCTCTTTTGTCTCTTATCTTCCTCTTAAGACTTTGATTATTCCGGTTGCCTAAGCACCTGTATCCAACATGTTTTTTCCTTCCACTTAACTTTCCATCAAAATTCTTAGCACTCTGTGAGTAACCACCATTAGCAATTACCGTTTATGGCTTGTGGACGGTGTCAGTTACTATCCGAAAGCAATTTTCCCCGTGATTTCGTAGAACTTTAATGGCCGTAAGAAAAGCCATTTTTGTTTGCCAATATTCTACTCAATATTCGGTGTTAATGAGCCGTAATCTAAAATAAAAAAAGGAATGCGTCAATGTTATGCGAGTTTCATATTTTTAATTAAAAAAAACGAAATAACCTGATAATTTACTGAGATGCACCTGTAAGTATAACTCGAGGAGCTGAACTACTATTAATCAAAAACACCTGATGGTACATTTAGAAACAATAACAGCGACTGAAGCAATGTAACAGCATTATTATCGACTTCATAAAAAATGTCCTGCATATTATTTAATATTTTCTGGTTCCGTTAGTGTTGTGATACACAGAGCCCTGTTTTAACGGTCTAAGCTGTAGCCATTTTTCCACGTCTCCTCCTCAGCCAGCCGTTAGGAAAAAATGACCGAAGCAGCTAAAACAGGAGCGGGCTAACTAGCCAGCTAACTAGCATCGACGACGAAACGTGAACGACACTTGATTGTCGGGTTAAATCGATACCTACCCGTTCCGAGCAACACCGTGACAGCTGCAGCGAGCATGGTGTAAATCCTCCACGTCAACCTCGCATGAAAAGATATGTTTGTTTTTTGTTTTTTTTTTATCCTGTCGTCACTGAGGTTTGACAGCCATTATAATGAGCATCCTGCAGCATTCCTCCCTCCGCCTCCTTCCTTCGCTGGAATCAGCGCCGCTTCTTATTGGCTGAACATCTGGATGGAAAAAGATGGTCGTCGCGTTCATAGTGGACTCAGAACGTGTTGTGCATAGCAAAAGGAAACGCCACGCCTTTCCTTAAAAAGATCCTTAGGAAGAGTTTTAGTTTCTCCGAGCTGCTGTTGCGTACGCCTGCTCGCTCTACTCTGCTGTTTAAAACACATACACAACCTCACTTTTAAATGTACTGAGTTTTTCCTCCAAATTCACAAAAGGTCATTTGAAGGCAGAGCCAGCCAGCCTCCAACACCTCCACACACAGCTTGACCTCTCAAGCACAGCTGAGGGCAGAAGGTTGTTTTGAAAGTCTGTCCCAGCCTCCTGCAGCGGCCGCCTTAGCAGACAGATGGTCGTGTTTTGGGCCGTGCTGGATCCCAGTCATGGTGTCCTAATGTGCTTTGGGACCCTTAATTTGCCCCACATGCTTCCCTGCTGTCAGCCACCTCTAAGACTGCTCTTTGAAAGCAGTGATAAACATCTTCTGCTTGATAAATTCTTATTTTGAAACAAAATCCTTGGCTTTCACAGCAAAAAACACCATCCCTTTTGCTCTGCGGTGCTTCGCTGTTTTCTCCCATCTATCCCCTTAAGATTATTTTTAGGTTGCTTAGCAACATTTAAACAGCCAGTGTTTAGACAAGTATGAATGCATCACAAGAATCACTGTATTTGTAAAGGAGGTGTTACACAGCCATCTGATCAAGGGGAGTGAGCCTACTGCATGTTTGTGCTGGAAAAAAAGGATTTGGGATTTTAATGTATAAATTCAACGGGAGCTTTAAATAACTTTCATACTCTTAGGGAAAAATGTACCCTAAGTGTCTGTTAATCTGGATTACTCAGGTCTTGAAAAGACAAAAACCTGGATGACTTTACATTTTGTGCTTTTAAATTCAGACAGGATAGAAGTTGTCATCTTAGGATCTTGATCTTTGAAAAAGAAACTATTTAGTCCGTCACTTACACAGGGCGGCATTATGTTGGCCTTTGGTGATAAAACAACAACAAAAAAAAAAAACAACAACCGTGGTCTCATATTTGATGAGGATATGCCATTAAAATTTTATAATAAAAAATTTCGTTCTAATTTCAGATACAAAATACTTCCAAAATAAAACTATCCTGTCCAAGAGTGATGTATAGAAAAGCTAATCTAATGCATTAGCTTATGCTGGATTATTTATATTTTTATATCATTCTTTATTGTCAAAAAGTCTCTGCCTGATCCAAGACGCTACATATATCAGAAATCTGATTATCCAACAAATTGTTCCCAACAGAGCACTTCCCTCTCAAACTGCAGGTTTAATGGTGTGAAAGTAGAATGAGAGGCAGATTTTTAACTGATCAGGATCCTCTCAAGTGGAACCAGCCCTCAGCCTATGTGCAGGAAAGTGGGTTAAATTATCCTGAGCTGTCTCTGTAGGCTGGTGGAGGACATACTTCTCCTAACTACGCTTTCCTACTACTCTCTCAAATTTTTTAGTATCTGACATGATTTCTCCTATTAACTTTATTTTCTGGGGTTTTTTTTCCCTCTTTTTCTGACATTCTATATTGCTGTCATACTTTTCTGGAACGACATCTGAACTGTTGCTGTTAACAAGTTCATTCTAGAGGTGATGCACTGGATCCTGCCATGATTCTTTCTTTAACTGCTTCACTCTTCTAGAGAGAGAAACTGCAGGAACTATTTCTGTGACTATCTGTGTGTGCTGTCTTACATCCTATAAATTTTGCAGCTGGTTTATAGTTGTGTTTCTCACCTAAACGAAGCCACTAAATGTAATGGGCTTTTGCATATCGGGACTGAATTATGCGATTGCTTTTTGCAAAGTAACTTGTGATGACATTTATTGTTGATTGGATGCTACATAAGCAAACTGAACTGAATTGAATTTAAATGGTGAAAGCTATTTCAAAAACATCATTTTTTTTTTATTGGTATCCAATGTGATAGACAAACACTGTTACAGGAAAATCTATAATTGTCAAAAATTGTTTAAAGTAAAACCTAATCTTAGTGACAAGCATTCGTTCCATTGTTAGATTTTCTGTAGATGTGAAATGAACAGAGGGCTCTATTTTATCACAGCAGAATCGCAGAAGTAACTCTGTAAAAGTAATCACACATTTCAGTGTTGACAAAGCTTCCTTGTTTCCTTGTGATTAATCACATGACTTTCAGCTTTACGTGGTGTGTCTGTGAACTGCTGTGTGACCCAACCAGCTGGAATGTCTGACTTCTTCTTAGATCCTGCTAAGCATGAATGAGGGGGGGAAAAAAAAAAAAAACAGTATTCATATTCCTAAATTATTTGGAAACTAAATTCTTAAACATGGCTTGTTAAAGAGTGAAGAAATCTGGACGTAGCGAAATAATGAGATTTGAGTCAATTAATGTTGGAGATTACTTCATATTTGGTTTTTATCCCAAACAAAACTGAACTGCCTAGTCATTTCCAATACAATCAAGACATACATAGGCAGATGTTTGTTGTTAGATAAGGAGTAAACTCTAACTATATGTAAACATGTCACAGTGGGTTTATACAGTTTCATTTTACAGTTAGTGGTCCAAACATATATAAAAAATCCACGGGCAGAAACAAAAAAGCAGCTTGTTAGCTGTTTTGGATTTTAAGTAATAATCTTACGTGGGTTCTGCAGTTATCTCAATCTGGATCAAGAGAATGAAGTTTTGACTGAAGATTCAAACTAACGACAAATCAGACCAGGGCTAGTTTCAGAGTAAAGTCATGCCAAGGATCTCTTCAATAAATTAAACACACCTTAGCACAACACAAGAACATTCATTCATTTATTTGTTTTCGTCATAGCAACCCTCTAAGGGTGTCTGCCCCCGCCTGACGCTAGAGGCTGCCGCCCAGAAATTCCTTTTTCCACCGTTCTATTTTCAAGCATTATCACTTCTGCTAAACCTTTCTACGGCTGATTCAGATCACTGAATCAGCTATTAGCGCAATACTTGTGTTTGTTACATCTGTCAAATGACTCACACCATTCAGAGCAATTCCATCACCAAAGTTCAAAATCTTCCGATCTGCCGGAATTTCACTGTAAGTAACGAGAACGAGCAAGACTGATCATATTCAGTCTGACTTAAACAAAATATGCCCTTCTTTGTGACAGAAATGCCTCATGATGGAAAAAATACACACTTGTGTCTGCTGGGATAATGTTGAACACAGCAACTGTCGCTTTTCAGGTTGCACGTTTTGTCCTTTTACCCTTGCAATGTGAGTTTGTTTTGTGAAACAAAATTGTGCTAATTTCAATATGGCAGAAAAACTGATCCAGTCTGGTTGACAATTAAACTTTTGTGTTTCTTTAAACTATCAAAAACATATTTTGTAATGTACTGCAGGTAAGACCCTGACTACTCCTTAGAACCCAAATTAAAAAAAAAAAAAATCCAAACTATCCCTTTAAGTTTAATTTTAAAGTTCTGGCAGTTGAACTGCAGCACACACAGCTGTAAACATCTCCGGCACCACTCCCTGGCCCCGGCACCGCCGTTTGGGAACCCAGCATCAGTGTGGTCCTTGACCCCACACCACCCAGAGCCCTCTACCGAGCACTCATCCTCCAGCGAAGTTACAGTCGCTGTGTGTGTTGGTATTTATGCCAGACTGCAGGCTCACGGAACCACCCCTCCCACGACCACCCCCTCCGCGGCGCAGATTATCGGACCGAACCATTGCCGCAGTTTTAGGTTTGAGCACCTGTCACATGACGCTTCATATTTCAGCGCCGCTGTTCGTCGGCGCGGCGAGTTCGTGCGCTTGGACGCGGCGTGGATGTGGATCGGACGCTGCCGTCCGGCGAACGCTGCGAGAGTGCAGGCTCTCAGTGAGACGGGCTGCCAGATTGCCCCGACACCCCTATTGTGCAACTGGCAGCATCACCCACTGCCTGCAATGGCGTTGAAGCGGCTTCAGTGTGTCTAAGCGTTTCTGTAGTGGCGATTCCGTCCTGGACCGTTTACGAGCGTGGGAGAGAAATGTTATTTTTGGGAAGCTTTTCCAGCGAGAGCATCCATATTTCCCTCCGCATTTGCCCTCTGGATTACATTTCTTGCCTGTTAGGAGCCCAACGAAGCTGGAGCGTTGAATGTAAGTTTTTTTTTTTTTTTTTTTTTTTTCTTGCAGTGGAGCCAGATCGCAGTGGTTTTGTGGCGAACAGTTAGAACTTCGCCGTCTTGAACATTTGACCGCATGTGTTCCGCCTGTTTTCAGAAAGATACCAACGGAGATAAATGTAAATAAATGCACGTTAAAGGGCTCCGGGGAGGAGGAAAAAGGGGGACAAGCAAGAGCTGTCATGTTCTGCGCGGTGTGGCTGATGTGCGCTTGTTTGTCTGATTCAACTGAGTCAGTGTTAAAGCCTCACTTTTTTTTTTCTCTCTCCTCCCAAACAGCATTATGATCTTCTTCCCCCCCTTTCACAGTGGTGCTGGAGATCAAGCCAATCAATGTATTGTTTAAGAAATTCACAGAAGTGACCCGTAAGAGTCCAGCTTGGTAAATAATGAATAGTGAACCAGGACATTTAGGGTTCAGTCCCTGCTCCTGTTACTTTTACATCTATACCATTCAGGCTGTGGGTTACAGAACAACTCGGGTTAATGGATTTTTCGTGTACGGGATGGTTGTTCCTGTGTTCTTTTTTTATCTCAGTATTTCCTGGTGTTTCACCTCTCAAGGTGTGGTATGCATTTCAGAACCAGATTAAATATTAATGGCCGTAGATATGGAATATTTGTCTGCTTTAATTCAGTATCACGGTGTCTGGAAGCAAAGAAATATCGCCCAAAAGTGCCACATGTCTGCAGCAAAACATTAAAGCTCATAGTAAAAATGATGCAGTCAGTGAGTGATGGTTGACATTTTGGAAAAAACAACAACAAAAAGGAAAACCCACAAGGCATGAGATAGCTTGAGGAGATGAAAGTGTTACTGTTCCTAATAGAGACGGTTATCTAATAAATTAAAGAAACTAAAACAAGGATATTTCGTACAGCTTTGAACACAAATGTATGAATCTTAACATGAAGTATAGATTTGTAAATATCAAAGGGTGTGACCTAAAGACACTAAGAGTGTAATTGAGGTAAAACCGCACAAATTTGTCCATCAAAGCATTCCTGCAGTTAAAGCTTTTAAATTAGAATCACAGATGTTGACCCTCCCCCACATATTACTGTTACTGCCGATTGGCTGGCTGAAACAAGGCTACTGCATGTTTTACTTTCTTATTTAAAAAAAAAAGATGGTCTTTTTTTTTCTGGTAAAAAATAGGAATCAATAAATGTAACAATTAACACTATTAAACCTGTAATATTCATAAAGCTACAGGAAGCAGGAATGATGGTTGCTTATCAGTGCGTTCATGTACGTTTTTAAAAACATTTTTATATATACCATGAATCTGTGGCATTCTTATGCTTGCTTATACCTTGCGTACAACAACATCAAGCAGTATATTTGTTCTGCTTGGCTTTGGAAGAGTATGTAAATGTGTAATTGATAACACAAATTATATTTTCTAGCTTTTTATCTATAATTATTAAAGTTAAAAGTTAGCTAGGTATGATTGTTTATGGTTCTGGAGGTACATCCTGAAGCGTCAGGAGGAAGAGTGAGTTGGGCAGTACACAGAAAGATACAGTACCTGCTGTTTCATTCAACATCCTCAGGCAGGACTCTTCATCCCAAAGCTGCCTCTGGTGCTTCTACTGATGTGTGTTTATCTCTGAGAAAACACTGTGGGGGTAGAATAAAGACGTTCTGGGTTGACTGTTGTTGAGATCAGAATATAAATTCAGTCTACTTACATCTCTTTTCTTCTCTGCAGGTGTGACTAGGCTTAAAGCACTGGAGTAGGCCCGACTAGACTCTGGACTCTAATGAGGTCACAGCAATGCTGACATTGCCTCTAAACCCAAAGACATCATCATGCTGAAGACGGAGGCTTCGGGGGAGAGGACCAGCCTCCGCAGTGCCTCCCCCCACCGTAATGCCTATCGGGCTGAGTTTCAGGCACTCAAGAGGGCCTTTGACCAGCCTCGGATTGACGGGGACTCGAAGCCCAAAGACCTCGAGCGGGTGAAACAACCGAGGGGTCGCCAGTATGGCGCTCACGTCAGTCGCATTAAGGACATGTTCATGCAGATGGGCTCAGAAAATACAACCAGTAAAGCCAGGGGTCGGGACGAATCCTCGCCGCAAAAACCAGTGAAGCCCACCAACTTCATCAACAAAACTGATGGATCAGTCATCAAACTTCAACATTCTTCGTCTGCTGAGAGGATTGGGGGTGCAGGTGCAAAGTTTTCCGAAACAAGGAAATTATTCGAACAACAGTCACGTGACCAATCCCAATCGCCGGTCTTTCCCTACGGACGCGACAAGAGGGGCTCTCATGAACACCTTGATGACTGGAGAGGAGCGAGGTCCAACAGAGGCAGCACAGACTCTCTGGACTCTCTGTGCTCCAGAACCGAGGCATCGTCGCCAACCGTTAGTCAGCTCAGTGCTGTTTTTGAAAATGCTGACCAACACAATCAAGGGGGCTCCTATAGAGGAGTCAGTAGGCGAGCCCTCTACTCACCTGATGGATCCTATCGCCAAGGAGGAGATCTCAGCGAGGATGAGTCACGACAATCTCCAGTCCGCGGAAACTACCAGAACAAAATCGGGGACAAGTTTCCTGCGTCTTCATCTACTGAGGACTTCCTGAGCCCCAGTCCTGGAGCAGATACTTCTGAAGCCAAAAAAGAGAGTTCACAAGATAAAGAGATCCAGGACAAAACTGGGGAAGCTTCTAGAAGAGACAGGCAAAATTTGTACAATGCCACCACCAATGGAAGCCAGGTTAATGGCTCTTGCGAAGAAGAAGAAAAACCCTCAGAGTCACTGACACTTATCGAGGACCAAGAAGTCACCAAAGCCTCAAAATCTACACGTAGTACTGTGATTACCAATAAAAATTTTGAAGATGTTACTCATGAGCCACTGCCCACCACAACCCTGCAAACTGGAGAAAGCAAAGACGACGTGGATGCTTTGAAGCAGGAAACCTCCCCTGAACCACCCAAGAACCAAATTGAAGAACCGGAGGAGGAATATACAGGAAACGAGAGGGTGATTTTTAATGCAGATGGGGACGCCTGTTACCAGGGTTGGGGGGAAAGCTGCACCGATCCCGACGATGACCTGTATGGTGATGACGAGGATATTGTCTACGACCCAGGCTCCGACGTGACGGAGATCCCTGGTCTGCCGGAAGAAAACAAAGAGGACGTCCCACCAAAGAGGAAGATTCGCTTCAGCACGTCTCCCATCACAGTAAGCTGGATGTAGTTTAAAAATGTTGTGCTAATGCACTGAGCTCAGTTACATCCACAAACAGTAGACTAAACAGTAGAAAAGCAAACAGTAGACTAAAACAACAATATACAGAGTTTCTTTTAATAATCTACTATTTCGGGGTGAAACCTAAGCCACAGTGAATTATCGCAAGTTCTTCATTTTATTCCTTTTTACATTTTTTGTATAGTTTAATATCTTCCGTGCTAATACGGTGGCAGATGAAACGTTGCTCTCGGGGACTTCGACGTGTTTATGAGCACATCTGTGCATGTGTTAGTCATGCTGGTTCAACGCCCACGCAATTATAACACAAGACACTGTGTTTGTGTTTTCTCCTGCAGTGTTTTGTTTCATTTATTCAAATGGCAAATTCATCATGATATTGTTTCCATCACCCAGGGAGAGTCCATGTGAACTTTTTTTCCTGCATATTGGGGTGACTTAATGCAAGGATTGGGTAGAGGTTTACACCGGTTTTGGAGAGGTGGTGATTACAAGGCAGTGTTGTTTGTTCCATCTGTCTTTTACTTTATTTCATTAATGTATTTAACCCTCAGCTTCACATGCTGCAGCAAGTCTTTGAAGAGATGGATTTGGAAGATTATGCAAAAATATTTGCCCGCATTTGTCCTCCAAATACTCAGCTTAACATTCGTAGAAGCAAACAACGTGCCCTTTTCTTCTCTATTTTTGGTTGTGCGGTCTGCCTGTGAAATCTAGTTTCTCTGCCTGAGACTTTCAGCCGGCGCTTGGCAATGGGGTGAGATACTGCTGCTTGTGATGTGAAGCAGAATCTTGAGAAATGTAGGTTATTGTAAGTGGAGCTGTAGCAAATGACCCGGGTGGTTGTCACCAAGCCCTTTTAACACATAGTATTGAAGCAGAACAATTAGCCCAGTTATGCTGAGGCAAAACCTTCACGTTGGCTAAGTAATTACCCTGAGCTTTCTCTGCAAAGTGTGTCATTTTGCCCTGTTTTTCTTCTCTTTGTGGTTAAGACCCAACACACAGAGAAAAACAGAAGGTTTGGAATCTATGTTGATCAGTACTTACCTTTTGCTGTTTTATAAATAAAATAATGTTGAATATGTTTGTACATCGCTTATAAAACTATCTTAAATACATGTATCTGTATTATAAAAATGCATGTACACAAATTAAGACAGTTAGAATGCCTCATTAAATATTTGGTTTTTCTAAAAGAGAAGTTCCCATATTTATCTTTTTGATTTACCTAAGGTTAATGGAACTTTCATTGCACGCAAAAACCAAACATCCCCATTGTTTTACTTATTTTTCATAAAAGTTTACAAAAATGTGTCTACTAACTAGTTTGGGGGTGTACCCTCATAGCTAGCATACCCCCTTTGGTAAAAAAAAAACAACTCTTGTGAGACACTTACTGTAGCCAACAACCTTTCTTTGTTATCAATCTAAGGAAGGTTTGTCACTTTCAGCTGTGAGATGTTTATTTTATTCATCTATCTGACTTTAGAGAAGTCCTTATCTTTGCCTTTTGTCCCCTCGGGCTAAAGTCCTGCCTTCACATTTTTCTTGGAGAGTAAAAGTTTCTCCATCCATGAAAGTTAAATGTTAGCAGTCTCTTTCTGATAGCACAGGTATGCACCTCTTGTTGACAATGGGATGACATTTTAGGATTTTTTTGATGCTACATTTAGCGTCTTACAGTCTGCTTTCAGGGTGAACAAGTTGTTTTGAGCGTCTTCCACACGTAGACTATTTTTTTTGTGCAGTGTAATGATTAATATCAGATTCATTCGAGACCTTTTTAGATCATTTTCCAGGCTCAGAAGCTGCTTCCGGAGGCCTCAGACAGCTCTTTCGATTTCTCTATGGTTTTCACTCTCACTTCCCAACACTTGCACATTACAGCAAGTGTCTAATGTTTATAGCAGCTCAAACCTCTATCAAAATGCTGAGTTGCAAATTGCGATGCTTTTCACCTAATGTGAAATGCCTGTTTGGTTTCACGTTCCTCTTCGGTTTTTGTTATCGGCTCCATTTTTTTTCACGATGTTAGAAAAACACTCAGACTGTGCCTTTTGTAGGCGCATTAACACAGTGAATCTGAATACTACAGCTCTTGTTGCCCCAGTTTGTTGTTGTGGTCTTGCGTTTCAAGGCTTCTGTTTTCTATGAAAAGCCCTGACGCTCATTCATCATATTGAATATTCAATAGGGTTGCTGCCCCCACCCCACACGCAAACTCACAACCAATTAGACATGCACCCCTCCCACCTCTTCATTACACTCCCCCTCTGCTCTCAGCACATGAGGAACAAACGGGGTTCTGTCTTTTGTTCGTCTTTATGGTGAAGGACACAAAGCTATTTTCTCAGCCCCCAGCACGAGTCCAGCTTGACCCCAGTGGGTAGAGACTGTAGATGGTTTCGAAATTCTGTTACATAATTCTAATCAAGTCTTAGTACTTATGCAACATATTCCTCCTCCTTTTGTAAAAATGATTAAATTATTGGAAACTCGATTAATCACACAGGTTTTAAGTTAGGTGCAGGAAGACGGTGATCACACTTGAGGACGCCTACTTTGGCTTATCATTTCTTAGATTATCTGCTATCAAGAAGAAGATTTTCTGTAGTATGTTGAGTAAAGGTTTTTTTGTCTTCTTGAGTCTGGCATCACTCAAGAAGTGAGTGAAAAACGGTGTTCTATCAGATAGCCATACGCTGTCAGGATAGCATACATGCAGTTAGTACGCATGCCCGCGCATGCGCATTAAGAAGTCCGAGCGTCAGTTGTGATGTCTCAGCATACGCAATAAGTTATGACGAAAATAAGTCATTAAATTGTTTATATCATATAATATGATAATTAGATAAATATACATGCGTTGTTGTGGTTTCAAAGTGTATTTAAAGCAGGTCTGGCTGCCGCTGCAGTCAACTACAACACACGCCCGTGTAAAACTCATTAACCTACTTAACCGCTAAGTCAGGATGCCATACAGCTGTTAATAGCAAAGTGTATGACGATCTACGTCATGATTCAATGTTGATGATTAAATAAAATCATATGGTAATGACAGCATATACATGTCTGAGCTAAGCGTATGACTATCTGACAAATTATGCTGATCTGACAGAACAACGGCAACGTTTTTTTTTTTTTTTTGTGCGGTCCAGATGTTTGTTTACACCTCTTCAGTTATCGGAGTCTCCGATAACATTTCGGGAACACGAATGCAGAACGCTCACCTGCATTCAGATAACAACAAAAAAAGTGGCGAATAGCATTGTGCTGTCTGTGCTTAACACATCTTCTGATAAAAAAAAAATAAGTATATGTGCCACATGAGCTCTTGGTACGTCAAAGACGAAGACGGGCTATTAAGCTAAGGGTCAAAAGCTAAGGCTTGTGTTTGTTTCGACACCACGCTAAGATCGCAGCGCCACACAGTGGCTGGGCATGACAATTACAGTGGATTCAAGGTGTCTTCGCAGTTTCATCTAAATGTGGAACCTTTCCCGCAAACAACATCCGAAAATAGTTTCCAGACAGCATTCTCGTCCAAACTTGGCCTAAAATAAAATACCACAACATCTACTGTGGCAGATGTTCCTTTGACTTAACTCTCCACTGGGTCAAATTCTGTCCAGCTGCTTCTACGTCAGATTTTCTGAGCTCTTGACAGACACGTCACTTTGAACATGACAAATACCATATCTGATAAACATCAGACTATTTGCACCATCTGGGTCAAAGTTGGCCTCATTCTCCGTAAATACAGGCTTGCTGAGCTGCTTCGTTGGCCGTAAATCGCAGCTTTTAATGTCCTCGCTGACCCACTAAGAAGTGACCGCTTTGAGCCAGCAGACGCAGCGGTCGTCTGCCGTACCAAGCGGCACCGACCAACGGAGAAGAGTCGGGTCTCATACTAATTGAAACTGCAGGGTTTATCCCCGACATCCGTTCACTTGTTCAGTGTGTGGCCAACAGATTAAAGCGCAGGCATTAAAGTCGATTTGGTCCTCTGTCACACATTTGTTGTCAGGGCGCGTTGTGCTCAGCTTATCCAATGCAGAGAGCCTAATGTGCGGTCTGAATTTATCACGCACATCTCTTCCAGTTTGAATTTCCCCGACTTCGGTTGTGCCTGCAACCTATAAAAGCTGCAACCGTCACTTGTTGCCGCCTTGCCTCTTGTCTTTTGCTGTAAATCAGACGGACATCTTGGGTCTCCGCCTCTCTGCTGTGTCAGTCAACCGTTGGGTTCTCTCTTTCTGCATGAGCTGTTTTCACTTTTTTCAGAACCGTTTTGTGCATGTAGAGCCACTGTGGTTTCATTAGTTGCGATACTGCAGCATCTTAATGGAATTAAATAGATATGATGAGTGGAGCAGCAGTTAAATGGCTGCTGAAGTGGCTCTGTAATCGCCCCCCTCCCCTCCCTCCACTCAGATCTCGATGATCATACACACAGAGACGATGTCCATTAGTTTCTGCTGCTGCATCATCAGTCGGATGGATCTGAGGTCAGAGCGGTGATCAAAGTGATATTTAACCGTCACCCCTACGTAGCAAAGGTTTCCTGAATGCAGACGGGTGTTTGTTCTGCCAAATTGATTGGAGGCATAAAAGGGTTTTGTTGACTATCCATATTTATCCATCTATCTAGTGTTTTCCACTTCTCTTTGGGTGTAACAGGGCCATGAGGGAAACACAAAAAGTTGAAACGATTGCATTTGGTAAAGGATGAAAGAGAGTTGCTCATGCCAAAACAACAGACACAATCCCAGCTCACATTCACTCAGTCCCACTCCACAGACTTGTCAGGCATTAAGAGGCGGTTATTTCTCTTGAGGATTTGGAAACTCTTTCATGTGCCTTCGGTTCAGGACGTGGCGGAGAAGCCCCCTGGCTGAACCAGTGTCTGCTCTTCCTTTTCCCTCTGTGCACAACAGTTCATTCTACGGATTTTATTATTTTGATGTGCG